TTTTTTCAGCAGAGTAAAGATGAGTTAGAAATCACAGTGAAATCAGGCTATACAAACAAGTTCTGTCTTTGAGACCATGACAAAATACCTTAACTCTCTTCATCATTTGAAAATAGGCATTATTTGAAAAAGGAAATAAAAGTTAAAATAAGCAATCTCATAACCTTATCCCATGCCATCAGTGGACATTAGTCCAAGGCAGTTCTTTGTCTAAGCAAGGCCATGCTTGTGGAAGCCACTATGTGCCTCTTATTTGCTTGCAAAACTATAGTTTGTCTGTTAAATGGGAAAACATGTAGAAGCATCCCTTAGAGTCTTTAGAGCATCCAAAGATTATACATTACAGCCAATTTGTATGTCTCTAGGCAGGAAGAGCTCCTTGATAGACTGGATTTTGACATGGACCATTCATCTCTCATAATCTCCCACCTTGACACTGGTACAGGAATGGTGGCTGTGTGCAAGAAAGTATTGCAATCCTACCTGAGAGGTAGAGTTTACACCACTGTGACATCTCCTGGAAATCACTCACCTGTATCCAGACTCACACAGAACACCAAAAGCCCAAGGTTAGGAGTATGGCTCAATGCTAGAGCCACAGGATCATGTTCTTATGGTTCCCCCCAGTACTCTTAGTTTATTCTATCCTGGGGTAGTTAAGTATCCATCTTTTCCTCCCACCGTATTTAAGGAAGCATTCTAACACAATACTTTCTATAACCAGCTATAGTTAGCAAAAATCCAAGGAAATACCAAATATAAAAGAAATACATTTGAGAGTGAGTAATGTGAAAATAATGGTTAAAAGATCATAGACTTTTTAGCAAAACATGGGAAATTATTATGACTATGTGAACTATGCTTTTTAAATGTAAAATAATGTAATTATTTTCCTTTCTATAAGTGTGTGTGTGCATATTCAAAAACATATAGGCATACAATGTTAGATGTACCTTATGATTAAAATTTCTTGGGGTATGAAGGATGAGAAAAAAATTATTTTTCATGTGCAATAATTTAGCCTGAACTAAAAGACATTTAAAAATATCTCTGTAGTTGGGAGCAATATAAAGAAATTGGATTGATATTTACAAATTTCAGCTTCCAAACACTGTTAGATGTAATTCTTTTCCTAGATGTGTATTGTACCTTTTCTCAACTTTTTGTAATGGCTAATGATGTGCCCTGAGTAGAAAAATTATAATCTAATGAATTGCACACTGAAATATCCTGAAAATGTGCAGGGTAGAAACACCTGGGAGTCAAGAAGGAATATTTCAACTGATAAAAGCCTAAGCCAAAATTTTTAGACACAGGACTGTCCCTCATACCATCCTATAAATCACTTGTAAGTCACATAAAATGTTTCTTATTCCAATAAAACTGCTCCCAGTAACCTTTTTGCTACAAAATATTTCCAAGCTTCCTCCAGATTTCCAAATTCCTGATGTAGCAATTTCTCTGCTTCAGATTAATTTCTTCTGTCTCATCCATTTCTGAACTGCTTTTAAATAACCATTTTCAAAATCTATTTCATAAGTGAGAAGACAGGCTCTTCTCATGACATAAAACTCTGTTGCAGTTTATTTTCTCATGATGCTACTTATTCTGTGAATTCAGAAGCTCAGGAAATCAGCACACCCAATGTTGAGTTGTTTCTGCATCAATTTCAGTTGCTGTTGCTGAGATTAAGAACTGGATAAAAAAATGCATAGGCTTTCAAAAAATGGGATTTTTCAAATGAAACAACCCCCCCCAAAAAAAACAAAAAAAACCCCCACACCATTCTCATCCCCATTTTCTTCCAAGCAAGATTGAGCCTCAGGTTTTCATTAATGGATTACACATGATGCTTGCCTTGAGGAATGATGTGTACATATGAGTGAAATGTTAATGTGATGGAAATCTCAAGGATTAATGAATTTATAAGACCGTGAACACAAGCTAATGACAATATATTGGGGCTTAGATTTATTATGCATAGGAATATCTTCTCTACAAACAATTTAGTGGTGCTTCAAGCCCTTTTGTAAAGGGACTTCATTTGTGGATGAATACATGTCTGCTAGCCTGGAATATGAATAATAGAAAGTACATATATCACGGTTTCAGAAACTATATTGTAGCAAGAAGGAGAAAAGACAATTTGGAGATGGAGAGATGGAGCAAAACAGATGATCTGCCAATAATGGAACACTCCATCTACTAGCTTCTGTCAGTGAAAATGATTTGTGACACCACCTTTGTTGGTGGAAAATATTTTCTGTGTCATCTAATTTATTATTTAGGCAGATGTTTTGCACAGGATGTTAAAATAGAACTTCACAAGATTATGTATGACTTGGAAGTAATCTGGCTTCAATGTTTTAAAACTGTATCTTTTCCAGTTAACTCTGGATTGAGGGAACCATAGCCAAAGAATAGCGTGAAGGCTCAATGTTCAAACCTCAACTCCAGAATACCTAAATAAACACATAACTTCACCTCCAATATAATTTGTTCATAATGTATGCAATACTTCATGACTAGTAGCTTTCTAATTGGATTTTTAGGCCTTCTCCACAGAAAGGAATTCCATGCATAGTACTGCAATGTTGGTCAAAGCTCATGTCAGGAGGTGACATAAGCACTAAGATAGAACATACTCATTTATTTTACTAAATGGTCATGTTGGTCAAATTGCCTTCTAAATAGTTATGTTTATGCCCATAGGCAGGGGACTGCTCTCAACTTCAGTCAGACAAGCAGTGTCTTTGTACAGTGGACAGCAGTCATCACAGAGATGAATAAATGGTCAGAGTGCTCAACCCAAGTGGATCATCTATATCAATATAGATCAGACCAGGCTCAAGGAGCATTGCAGTAATGCAAGAAAACAAGAATATAAGGGCTTGGGCGATAGGAAAGAATGTTATGAAACGTGTTTGTGGGGATATGACATGGTTACCATGTTCACGTATTCACACCAACTCTGGTCATTTCCACAAGAACTAAACAAGCTAATGCCAACCAAAACTCTCACATAGACGGGGAAGCTGATCTTTAGGCCCCACTCCTTACCAGGTAGCTACTGGCAGGTAATAGCGTCTTGGGAAAGTGAGAATTCTTCTCCTTTAAGTGTGTAGTTACTCAAAGGTTTCAATGGATAGCCACACATACAGGCACATATAGGCACTACTACATAACCACAATTATGAGATAGTTTTAAAGGACATGAGGTTGGGGGGGGGACTGGAGGATGATTTGAGAGAACTATGAAGAGGGAATTGGGAAAAAAGTGTATATGGTCATATTCTATTAGATACAAATATGAAATTCTTAATTAATAAAAGAGAGACTCAGATTTTTTAAGCAGCCATTCTATGTTTTCTCTTACCATGTCTGCTGTCATCTTCTCAGGCTTCTCAATGGTGTATGCTATGCACCTCAAAGGGAAAGTTCAGTAATGAGTGGTGGGGAGAGCATGCTGATGGACTTCAGGCAGGGGTGGGAGATCAAGGATCCCTAAAACCAGCATAGTAGAGGGGTATGATAACAAACTGGGGCAGGATTGGCAACTGGGCATCTCATTTCCAAGTAGAGTCCCTTCCAATCAGAGTTCACGGGGATAACTTCCTCTTGACAAATGAAGAAAATGTTGCATGGATGTGGAAATCGTCTCCTTTTGTCACTATTGATCAAATATTCACCCCATCTGGTGCATGGAATCTTATGTAAGATGTGGGAAATAGTAAGAGCTGGAGAGGACGGAAACCCCACAAGGAGAGCAACAGAACCAGAAAACTTGAACACAGGGAACTTCCCAGAGACTCATACTCCAACCAAGGACTATTCATGGAGATAACCTAGAACCCCTGCACAGAAGTAGCACATGGCAGTTTAGTGCCCAAGTGGGTTACATAGTAATGGGAAGAGGGATTGCCTCTGACATAATCTGATTGTCCTGCTCTTTGATCACCTCCCCCTGAAGGGGGAGAAGCCTTACCAGGCCACAGAAGATAACAGTGCAGTCACTCCTGATGTGATCTGATAAACTAAGATCAGAAGGAAGGAGAAGAGGACCTCCCCTATCAGTGGATTTGGGGAGGGGCATGCGTGAAGGAGGAGGGAGAGTGGGATCAGGAAGGGAGGAGGGAGGGCCTTATGGGGAGATACAAAGTGAATAAAGTGAAATTAATAAAAAGATAAAATAAAAAATATTCACCATCTGTCCTTTAATACGCTATTGGCCTCTCTTCCTGCTTTCTTTATCCACAACTCTCTCTCTACCCCTTAATTTCTTTGGTTATTCTCTTCCCTTTGTTAGAGGTTACCCCAAACAGACCTTTACCAGACCTACTCTTGGGTCAGCCTTCCTATTAAATCTCAAACATCAAGTTTCTCCAAGGGAGAATTCCTAAGAGCAGTTACCTTCTCTGGCATAGGCAGGAATCCTGCCTGTAGGCCCACCAACTTTAATTATCACTTTTTTTTTTTTTTGCCTAAGCCATGTGCTACTAGACTTACCAATGCATCTCAGCAGAGAAGAGACCCTCATACAGATATATTTAGCAGAGGAATGCCATCATTTAAAAAAATGCAATGATAGCTGGGCATGCAGAAGAATGGTCTCCTCTTTATAGAGTCGCACTTTCAAAACTATCTGCTTGTTTTTCCCCAGAAAATGGCGATTAGAATTCTATGACACCCTGCTCCTGACCATAGCTCTAGCATAGCTCTTCTTTGTAAGGTCATAATAACCGGTGTGCTACTCTTTATTTCCTAAGCATCATACTCCACGTGTTATCTGTGAGTTCCTATCTGGCATATACAGAAGCTCAGAAAGTCACGGAATTAACTGTGTAAGATGTGTTTTTCCTTTCATCTCTCCCTGTGTCCTCAGCACTGCACCTGATTTCAGCTGCCACTGGGGTCATTACTTGACTTCAGACTGCTTTAGGTTTCTATCTCCTTCTGTGGATTTATTCGGTTCATGAACAACAAATTCCAAGTAATCTCAGGTCAGTAATGTTTATTTCTAACTAGTTTGGGCAAGTTTCAAATCATACAAACAAAACCCCAAAATAGAACTGAGGATGGAGACATACTGGATCATTACCTTGGCAGGCATTTTGTTTGTCATGTTTATAACCAATAATAGAATGTCCATGTTTACATTATACACATATTATTATATATTTATATATTATATATATATTCTTTAATAGAAAGAGACATATAAAAGCCTTTTCAAATGAGGCATGACAGGTGATACTTGACGCTCTTATTTACAATACATGAAGACACTTTCTACATGATGATGATGGATTCTCAGTGGCCAGATAGGGTTTACAAAGACAGCAGGACACCTAAAAGAGGTGTGCCATGCAGCTGGACAGTTATTGCCATTAGTTCTCACTATGTCCAGACAGCACATTGAAGTTAAAAATGGCATCTGATTATTGGAAAAGACGATGGTCATCAAATTCATTCTGGCTCCATAAATACTACAAGGTTTTCCAAATGACCAGGGGTTGACAAATGCTGCAGATGAGGACTGGAAACACAACGCAAGACGAGCATATCAGACCTGACGGGCAGGGCTCTACACATAGCCAAAAGGAAGAACTTGCTACAGACTGACCTTGCCGCACTAAGGAGCAGCAGCTGTCTGGGTCAGAAGGTCCTGGGAGAAAAACATTCTCCAAGAAACAATACCAGCATGTCAGTGACATCGAGTAGACAGAGTCTGTCCCAAAGCCTGACTCAGGATATCAGGAAAAGGCCCAATGAGAAATGCATGCCTTGAGACCAGGATATCAAGAAATTCAGAAATGATCCATAGAGAAACCCTGAAATCACCGTAGGGAGGTCCACCTTTGCAAAGCCTTCAGTCTCCTCCCAATACCACCCCCAAGTTTACTGTCCTACAAACTACCAGTCTGAACTTATTTTCCATGGTCTGAATTTATGGAATGTGTGTGGACATACAGTTCTCACATGCATCCAGACTCCCATAGCTTTCTTCTCATGGGATCAGTGACCTGCAAGCCTGGTCCATTTGCCCAGGCAGACAGGTTTCCATACTGTACATGGTATTTCTGAAAAAAAGGGGGGGGGGCTTTCTCTGCATTGTTATCCATGCTGTCCTGTTTCATGCATTTCTTCTCTATAGCTACATTTTCATATTTCTGCCATTTCGCCTACATAGTGTACTTATACTTAGAGACCATTTTAAATATCCTGGTTATTTTTAAAACTTCTGTATCAGTCACTTACCAATAACACTTTAAGTTGGGTCTTCAGTCTGGCTTTTGTTCTCCATTCTGATCTTACTTGTGTCTATCTGTTAGTTTTTACAAATGTGGTCTTTCCTAGCCCTTTATTTTCCTAAGGCATGAAGACATCACTATTGAAAAATAACAGCACCCATCTTAGAGCTCCCCTGAGGTTCTTTACCCAGCATGCCTCTCTTAGGATGCCTTTCTCCTTCCAGGGAGAGGAGAAGCAGCTGGCCCTGTTAATGGGTTTTGATTAGTTGCTCTTGCATTCAGGGCTGGGACAGCATTTCTTTGGAAGTGCATCAGCGGTAGTTTCACACACGAGTACATTCATCTGACTGCCTCTTTCTGCTAGGTAGAGCTTCTCTCAGTCTTCCCTACTTCAGAAAGAAATGTAAGCATTCACAGAAACAATCTGTAGACCAGGCAATGCATAGAAAAAGTTTAAGGAAGTAGGTGGAACAATTTGTTCAATATGCTCCCTTCAGTTCTTTCTGTTAATACCAAACCTGTATTGACCAACAGTGTCACCTTCACCTCCACTTTCTCTAAGCCACACTACCTACTGGTACTACAAGATAAAATGTGGATTTGTCACACTTTCCTTTGCCCTTTCTTTAGAAAACATGGAGAGGATGAAAACATGAATATAGCAATTTTTTTGAACAAGTAGTATGTTTGATCTATTAAGGGTTCTATTTACAGGAAGATGCCCCACTTCCACACAGAAGTTAACCTGAGTTCTGAAATGTTTGTGTGCACTTAATTGAATCAACACATGATAAAGCTATGACCTAGTGACAGATTGGGATAATCTAGTTAAGTTTGATCAGTTCCCATGAGCCATAGTGATTATAACACTGGGCTCGCCAATGGCACGTGTTCTGTTTCTTACTTTCTCATATTGTCCCTAGAAACATCTTGAATGAGACTCTAGGAAGCTAGACAAATTCAAGAAAACATTGTTGTCTTTTACACTGTTTGTTCAGCTTCCCCAATGTCTCAAATACAAGCATCTCTAGTGTCCAGCCCCACCCCAGCTTGATCCCTCCACACCTTCCACTCTCTTACTCCACTCTGGAATTCAGCGGTGTGGAAAAGCATGACCTAGCTAAGAACTCAGCTGATCTTAAACAGCTCTGGCCAGTCACCCAAGCTGTTCCCTGGAGGCTGCTATTTGAAATAGTTGAGTCCTGCCACCAAGAAAAACTTCTCAAGAAAGAGTTCCGAGTCCAGCACGGCTATGTGAGCTGCGCGGCCAATCAAGGTGTTGGCAGTGTTGGGCAGAGCATGGAACACGTTATGTCTGATCAAAGTACAGTCCTTGGCTTCTACCAGAGGGCCCAGGAGATTGTTGATCATTTCCGCATACACTGGCCCTAGAAAGAGGGGGAAATAAAGGAAATCAGAGTGGTTTTTAGAAATATAGTCTAGAGAACAACTCTGCATGAGTGTTGGCAGAGCACATAATAGACTGAGTTCCAACCTCATGCTAGTAGGTAGAAATATGCAAATAAATGAAGAGTAAAATCCCACTTCTCTTTAGCAATTCATAGCATTAGCATGCCATTTTCTTTTTTCTTTCTTTTCTTTCCTTCTTCCTTCTTTCTTTCTTCCTTCTTTCTTTTCTTTCTCTCCTTCTTTTCTCTTTCTTTCCTTCCTTTCTTCTTTCTTTCTTTCTTTCCTTTCTTTCTTTCTTTCTTTCTTTCTTTCTTTCTTTCTTTCTTTCTTTCTTTCTTTCTTTCTTTCTTTCACAGATGATATAGTGGCCTGGTATACAGCACAAGGGAAAGGGATTCCTACAGGAATGTTGTCTCTCAGCATGGGAATAAGAGAAAGAAGACTCAAGAGAAAGTCATCAGAGATTCAGTTTCTGCTTCAGAAGAAACTGAGCCAAATGTATATAAGTCATAAAAACAGACATTTTCTACTATCACAAGTTGTTCAAGACAAGGATCATTTCACTACCCCCATTTCAAACAAAAATGAGTGGGACAATGCAGAATTGTTACTATCAGGTTGCTTTATTTTTAAAATTAAAAGTGTCAGTTGATGGTGTTATATCTAAAAATGTGACTCAGTCACAGATTTGCTTTATAAAGTAAGGGCATAGAGGCATGCTGGAACAAAAATCAGTGGGCAGTGAGGAATGTGGCTACCAGAGTCCACAGGTCACATCTCCTCCATCTGCTTTCTTCCTGCACCATCTTCATGGCAAACTTTATGCCATAAATAACTGGTTCTCAACCTTTGTGTGTGTGTGGGGGGGAGGGCAGCAGTTGAAGGACCCTTTCACAAGGATGATTTAAGACCATCCAATATTTACATTACAATTCATAACAGCAGCAAATTTACAGCTATGAAATAGCAATGAAAATAATTTTATGATTGGGACCACCACAATGTGAGGAACTGTATTAAGGGCCACCGTATTAGGAAGGGTGAGAGCTACTGCCATAGAGGGGCTTAGATGACCTTGAGGGCCAAAGTGGTTTGTGACTCAGTCGGGAAGGTGGTAATCAAAAGTTAGTACATAAGCCTTCAGGTGTCCATTCAAACTAAGACTTGTATTACAAAGCCAGTGTGCTACTCACAGAGAGAGGCCGCTTTACCGAATGCTCCAGTCTCCTAGCCCCAAACTGGGCATCACTCCATTCTACATGAACAATCTCACAGCTTTCCCTTCCCCTCAATATCAGTAGTGCACAACACTGGGGCTGTTTCTCTGAGTGCAGAGGATAATTCACTGAAGTATATGTCACTAAATTTTATTTTCTTATTATCCTTTTTCAAGGTCTTGATAGTTTTGATGCTGATGAAGCTAAAATGCAAACTGAAATAATTTTGGATTTCTTTGTCGACATACATGTCCCAATCTTACCAATTTGTCCATGGGGGAAAATGGCTTGTGGCTAGAATAAAAGGAATTCTTCTTCCAAAGAACCCATAATATTTATTTAGAATAGTAACCAATAAATAGGTAAGAATATTCTGGAAGACCATCATGTTTTAAAATCATGTGCAGAAAAAGCTGGTTTTAGAGAGAAAATTGAAGTCAATCAAAAGTTATGGCTGTTCATGAACTCAAAACATCTGTTGCTACCTGCACAATACCAAGCCAGTTAAGAATTCTTTGAGGAAAGAAGGAGCTCTTGAGGTCCCATCCTATGAGGAGATATTGGCACCTGATGGCACTTGAGAATGGAGGCTCAATTTTCTGTTTAAGTATAGCCACTGGTAGATTGTCACCCAAGTTGGTTATTACATGCCCATGTGTAAATGGTTAACAGTAACTGAACTCAGTGGGTTATTAAAATGAAAGACATGAGGTTGTATGGGAGGTGTGTTGGGGAGTGATTGGAGAAGGGTGTTGGAAGGAGGAAATGGGAGTGAATATGACCAAGGCACATTGCATACTTGTATGACATTTTTAAGGAATAAGAATAAAACTTGTTTTAAAGGAATGACTGATAGGTTAATAAGGAGCCATGCTTGCTGGTCTGGTCAGAAGGGTCTGTACCTCTTTCACAGGATGCCTATTATAACAAGAATAATACATGGATGTTGTAACGCAGTGGAAATAGAAGCAGAGTATTTTTCAATCAATATTATAATTTGTTAACATTCTATATGCAATAGGGCCCATTCAGTCACACATAAAAAAGGCAAATTCACTTAAAATGTAGCAAACCCTCAAACTATCATTTTCTGCTGAGACATCATTGTCACCCTTAACCCAGAGGGAGTTCCCAGTAATTATTATTAAATATGCATAATGCATCCTTAATTATTTTTCTCAAAGTACTGCTTTCATGTTGTTTAACTTTCAGGGTAGGAACAAATTGTCTTCATGACAACAAATGTTGTCATGAAGACAATTTGTTGACTAAATAAAGAACTGATAAAGACACAAGAGAGGCCGGGAGATTTAGCTCTGAATTTTTAGAAAGTAGGATTATTAACAAGTAGTTAATGAAAACAAAAGTAAAAATTAACAAACTCTTCCCACGTAGTCAACTAAACTTATGAATTAAGATATGTTCCTTTTATAATTTGTATAAAAGTATAATTGAAACAGCATAGGAAAAGAGGGGCCTGCTTTTCCCGCTATGACTGGAAGGATTTAAATTGTGAATGAATATTCTTTAAAGAAGAGCAGCAAGTAAACATCTCCAAGATGGTACAGAGCTGTATAAAGGGCTTCGTCATAGCAATAATTTTGAGGTAGTGTATAACATATCCTCAGAAACTCTACAGCAAGAGTCATTCCCATTCTAGGGGAAAGCATCATCTTCAGTCCCTCCTGAAGATATCTTTTCCTATGCAAAACTGAAACTGGAATTATGTCCTCCTCAATGAAAGGAAATGTGCAAAGGCATGGAACTGTTCCTGACACAGAAAGACCGCAGTGCACAGCACTGCTGTTCTAACATAGGGCGTGCCATAGGCTCACAAGATATCCAGGTGTGTCACCAGCACATGACTCAAGACTATCATCACACCTCGCAATGTAAGCAAATGTGTATGGCTGTGGGTTATGTTTAGCATGTGGGGAATTAGTTTGAGGAACCTTGTTCTTAAACATTTACAAAGCTCAAGTAGTCAGCAAAACTATTACCTTTTCAGACAGGGTCTCTCACCAAGACTGAAGCTCAACTATTGGCTAGGCTGGATGAACAGTGAGCCTCAGACCATTCTTTTCTCAGCACTGGAATTACGGACATATACAGCCATGCCCAGTCTTTTAATTCTTAGGGTCTAAGCTCAGGTCTTCAAGCATATTGCTCATCGAGACAACATGAAAGCCCTGTAAATCTACCACTTCTAAGTTAACACATGGTTACAAAGAGAATAGAAGAAAATGTTGAGGAGGTATGGAGGAGTAGAGTATGATCATAAGTGGAAAAAATAGGTTTGACTTCTCCAAATACTCTATGAAATTGGTACTTTTCTACTTTATATTTCAGGTATAAGTGTGTGTTTGTGTGTGTATATGTGTGTGTGTATGTGTCTGTGTGTCTGTGTGTTTATGATATGTGTGTCTAAGTGATTTTTGAAAGTGGGAGAGGGCACTGGATTTCCTAGAGCTAAAATTACAGGTATCCATGAATTATCTGATGTGGGTTTTGGGATAGCATTCAGGCCCTCTGAAAGAGCCTGGGCCATCTCTCCAATTCTTTTTGGAAAATGTTTATTTTTAATAGGCTTCTGTTTTAAAGGCTATATGTAGTGGTAGAGGCAAGAGGATTTCAGTGAAAACAGGTCAGATAGGTCTATGAAATGAGTTCAAGTCATCCAGGGCCACATAGTAAGACTGTCTTATAAAGCCAACAATCATAAAAAAGAAATAATTCTCTGTGACATGCTTAGTCTAATTTCAGAACACATACTAGAATGTAAAAAATCACAGTCTTATTTTCTGTATTAAAACAGTAGGTTATTTTTTTTTAATTTCTCTTCGGTTTCAATATGAATGTTTCTAGTTTGGGGGAACTTTGATGTACTTTAAAAAAAAAAGAGAATATAACAACAACAGCAAAAAAAGAAAGCTGCTTTTGAAACTGCAGCAAACTATTTGATATAAACTAATCAGCCAAAGGAAAAGAGGAATGCTTGCTCCTATCCTGGTCCTGGTTGCCTAGGAAACTTGGTACCCTTGTCCATTGGACCCCAGTAGTTCCACACCTTGCCTCATTTCCCTCCCACGACACATGAATGCATGACAAACTATTCACTTTCTTTATAGACCGTACTTTGCTCTTAGCATTCTTACTTCTCACTTCACTAACTGGACAATAAGCCTTAGAGGCCATCTGCCAAGTCTGTACCCACCCTTCCATTTTTCACGGATAACACACAAATGGAGCTCACCATTTCCAGAGATCTGACAAGCACATGGCTGTTCACCTCACTTGAGGGAAGTCTCTGTACTGTTAACAGGAATGGGTCTATATACCCAGAGAGTAAGTTTATCCCATCATTCCATTCTAGAATCCGTGCAGCGCTGTACTACTCCGAGCCTGAGCCCAGCTGCTGCTAACAAATATACTCAGGTTTTCAACCATTTTCTTTCACTTTGAAAATTACAAATTCCCTTTACGAAGGAGATGTAGCTTACCTGTGTGTCTATCTTTGAGGGCGGTTTTACACATTTCGATCCTGGCTGAATGAAATGGCACATAGCGGTCTTGGGGAGAAGCAACCAGAACAACGTTTTTAAAATACTGCAGCCCTGTAACAAGAAGGAGGGTGAACACTTTCTGCCTGCGTCCTTTATACTGACACACCCCCCGGGATGCACACGTGTTGAAGTCTTCCCCAGACAGTGGCAGTGAAGGAACACCAGACACCGTGCTGCACAGGCCTGATGTTCTGAGTGTCACCACATACTTCTCAGGAGGAGGCTTCTCAGGCAAGAGAAACTTGAAAGAGGAACTCAGTATATAAGGCCTTTTGTGTTTTGGATATAAGATAAATTTCTTGACCTCGGGGAGGCTCACAGGAGTTTCACTGTGAACACTGAAGAAAACACAGAAAAGTACCCGCCAATGAGAACAAAACATGTCCCTGTGGACTATTAAAATAAAAAGCCTATGGGGAAAAAACAGTTTTTATTGTTGTAGTTGTTGTTTCACCCTCTTCCTGGTCCCCTGATTTTAGCAGCTCTTGTGCTGTCACATGCAGTAGGAAAGCGGCCTTCGATCCTGCTGCCTGCTTCCTGCCTCCCCACCTCCAGCCTTGTTTCCTCCAGCTTTGCCTTACTGCATTGTTGTCTACAGGGAGAACAAAAGATCTTCCAACTCAAATGTCAGCTCGGCACCGTGATGCAGCCCTCAGTACTCATCATGGGCAACTGGGAACAGGGCGCGTGACACTGCACTTGGTCCTTGCCTTAAGATGGAGCTTGTCTTCTTACCCTACATTTAGCTACCCTACTTACTTACCCACCCTACCCTTAGCTGAGCAAGATGATGGCTGACAGCCCTTGGCTGACCCTCCCTGTAGGTCCCCACCTCCATATCCAAGATCACACTTCAGCCTCACACACTGGGGCAGAATCCAGGGTAATGGCTGCCTGATGTTGGCCCCGAAAAAACCAAGGTGACCCCGTGATCGACTTCAGTACAGTGTATTGTACCACTACTCCAGCTCTCGACGTCGCCATGGCTGAAACAAGCTGAGACACCTTTGCTGACATCACTGCAATTCAGCATCTTTGTACGCCCAATTCTACCTCTCTTTCTCCACACAGGGGGGAACTGAGTGTTCCTCTTGGCACAGGGAGACACGGGTGCAAAAGGAATGGCTTGAGCGCGTAAATGAACTGGATCCAGGGGTATCGATATGGACTTCTATGATAGACCCGGGCAAGTTTGCCTGTGCAGCAGCACTGTGTAGGCTAACCAGTTAGTGGTTCTGCTCCCTTCCTGGACACAGACCACTGATCCAGGACTGGCGCTTTCCTCTGCTTGTGGTCTCCATGACCTAGGCTCTGCACCCTCACCACAGGGTGAGGGAAAATATAAAAGGAGGCTCGTGTGGCAACCCAGACAATGCTCTACTCACACACGGTCCTGGGTCCATGGGATTGACAGGAAGTAGAAGGCACAGCTTCTGTGACTGCAGTGACCCTACATACCCTGTGCCTCCTGCCCAGCACAGGAGACAGGCCAAGGCAGGGTGACCCTCTACAACCTGGCCCCTCAGCAGGTTGTAGAGACACTGCTGGACAGCCTCACTGTACCTCACATGAGCAAATAAACACAGTACCAAAGCTACTCTGTCTTAAGGTGTCAGCCTCAGGTTCTGAGCGAGTCACACACCTGTTTTTTGGCTAAGTTGGTAAAGGAAACATTTGCGCAGATCAGCGTTATCCCTGAAAGTCAGCTGCAAAAGGGAGCCAGATTTCTTCAGTTTCTGCATGAGCCACAAGCCTAGGAGGAGAAAAAGAAAACAAAGACTTAAAAAAGCAAAGCAAGGGGTTGAGATATGGCACAGAGGCTGGCCAAGAGTGCCTGCTGCTCTTCCAGAGGTCCTGAGTTCAATTCCTAGGAACCTATATGCTGGCTCATGACTATCTATAATGAGATCTGGCGCCCTCTTCTGGCGTGCAGGCAAACAGACCATGTCATACTAATAAATCTAGAAAGAAAAACAAAACAAAATTAAAAAACAAAACAAAAAAAGCAAAACAAAACAAAGCCAGAGAAGATATTTTCAGCTACCTTAAAATAAAGAGAGCAATGAAAATTTTATCAGATACTTAATAGTTAAATTTGTTTTTGGTGTGTGTGTGTGTGTGTGTCATATTTGGGTGTGCACATAGAGGAGAATATCAGGTTTCTGGTGAATATCAGACGCTTGCTCCGTTACACTCATCTCCACCGGCCACGGAGGGAGGCTGACAGCAGCAAGCCCCGGAAACCTTCCCATCCCCATCCCCGCTCCTCACAGGGTTGTGGCCACAGCTGTGCAGAGACAAACACAGATTTTTACAAGAGTTCTAGAGGCTTGAACCCAAGTCCCCACACTTCATCAGCCAGTTTTCTTATCTACTGACTCGTGTCCCCAGGCCCCAAATTTACATTCTCCTCCCTGTTGGTAGCAGGAGTCTAAAATTATCCTGGAAGATGGCAAAGCAACAGGCATGTTAGGCCACGAAATCAGGCATTCTCTGATCTCCATTCCGTCCCCTCCAGTAAAGGAAGCCAAGGGAAAGGGTACCCAAGAAAGGCCCACAGACTGGACATCTAGAATACATATTTCTTACAGAGCCCATGAAGTGTTTAAGCAGATACTTAAAGAGTATCTGTATCAACAACCAAGGAAAGTTTCCATAAAAGCATGAAGACAACATGAAAGTATGTGTGTGTGGTGGGTGGGGGACATACACATAGGCCCAAGGTGGTTTATATGTAGAAGGCCGCATGTGTATAAAAAAAGTAATATGAAACACGTGGACTTACTTTAGGTATTCTGTGTTGGGTGAGTTGGGTCTCAGCGTCTTTTTAAAACTTTTTATATTTCAAGTTTCCATGTGGGGAGGTGCCTAAATTAATTTATCTTTGTTCAAAGACAGCTTTGGGTTTATGCCAAAGGGAAGACTTCATGTGTATATAAGTCTTGTTATGTATAAAACTACCGAATGAGTCATGGGCACAGGGATCATCCTCAAGATACTTGCAAGAATAATCATGAATCTAAGTCACACTTTGAAGAAAGTCCCAGAGTGAATGGGAAATACCAGGAAGACTGAAGATTAACAGGGAGAGAGCGCTTGTTAGAGGTGAGCCCAATGCCACATAATGGATATAGCTAATCAGTAAATACACAGTCACGTTTCATCTTTTGAAAACACATTTGTTCAGTGTTAAAGCCTGTTTTTATTTTTAAATTGGGCTGTTTGTTTTCTTGTTGTTTACTGCTTTTTAGGTCTTTGTATTTTCTAGACACTAACCCTCAGTCAGATGTATAGCCGTGATATATTTTTCTTCCAGTCTATAGGATGTGAATGGGTGGATCTTGAGGAGTAGGAGGTGAAAATGATCAAAATACATTGTCTGCGTGTATGAAACTTGAAAACAATTAATGAAAACATATCAAAAGAAAAATAATTCAACACACTAACCATTGCTGTATATGAACAAATATCTTGGGTGTTCTTTTGAACACAAAACCATTAGCTAAAACCCATTTAGCACTGTCTATGTTGTCTGTGCTGCGTGCGTCTCTAGCATCTTCCTGCGTAACTTAAGGTCCTTCATCATCTGGCTGTTACCTGGCACTGCATCCACCTTGCACTGGGCAGTGCTGTGGTTCTTTCCCTGAGACTCTCTATCAGTTTGCTGATGAAACCAACCTTCCAGGTCATTACCTACACCAGACCTTCTGCCTTAGATGCAAATGCTGCTCATGTTCCATAAAACATCAAGCCTCTCTCCTCTTCTTCCCCCCCTCCAGCCTCCTCCTCTTCCTTCCATGTCCTTATTTTCTCTCCTCTTCATTCTTTTCTGTGGTATTGAGGATCAAACCCAGGGCCATATGAACACTAGGCAAGCGCTGTACCCTAAGATGCATCCGTAGCGTTCCTTAAACTCTGTAACCCCAGCTTCTCTTACAATACCGTTGAAGTTGTGAGGACCTCAAAACAGAGGGCAAGCCAGAAGTAATAGAATTTAGTTCAATTCTATATGATCTGGAATAGATGGTGGCTAGTTTGCCTTGTAACTTTCCTTTTGAATCGTCAATATGCGTTCACCCACTTACACATGCGTTAAAGCGTGTAGCATGTGCACCCCACATGAATCAGAGCCCTGCGCAGGTGAGTGCCATGTCTGCAGTCAACATACCAAGAATTAAACAAATTTTTTCTCTTCCCTTTTCTTTGTTTGAACTTAAAAAGTTACTATTTTAATTGCAAAGAAATGAAGAACCATTGGGGAAATACATAGAAAACATTGTTTATTAATTTCTTTTGTAACACTTGCAATTTATTAGGAACTAAAATCAGCCTGGAGATGGTAGAGAGTATACAAATGGTTGTCTAGGTTGCATGAGAGGCTTAAGAATTTTAACTTTTGTTATCCAGGAGGGCCATAGAATCAATAGATAATAAAATATAAATATGAGCACATACATGTATCCCATGCATGTTTACATACATATATAAAACATATGTGTTTATACACATACATATAATATACATACACACACTAGAAAAATGTAAACAAATATGCAAACATGCATGCAGACACACACAGTCCCCATTTTATAGAAAGTAAATGAATATTTTAAGAGTAAGAGGCCTTAGTCAAATTTAACAATTAGAAAATAGGCTCCACATACGACAGCAAACATACAGTCTATGGCTGTCTGGGGCTTGGATTTTAGCTTAATATGATATTTTTAGTTCTGTCTGTTAATTTCTATGAATTTCATGATTTTATTTCCATTCGTGGTTGAATAAAACTCCATTGCATATATGTACCACATTTCCTACCAAATCTCTGTCCACCACCCTGCACTTGGGAGTTAGAACATTCCATCATTAATTTCTGTCTCCAGTTCCAAGTTCCTGATGCCGCGGCCTAATTCTGGAGGAGAATGAAGGTGAAGAGGTCTTACCTGTACTAACCAGGGTGCTGTTGTTGTACAGAGTCCCCAGGTGAGGCCCAGACAATGACAGGAATGTGTGGAGTTTGTTGAGGTAATACCGGAACCTGGGCCTTGTGAGAACTGATCTGATGATAATGTTGCCAAGAGAATGGCCGATGAAGCTGTTTAGAGGCAGGAATGGCACACATAAGTGACAGCAGGGGACTGCTGCTCAGGTATGGGTTGGGATAAGAAGCACCAAGGTCTTAGCACCTCCCACCTCCCCAGGTACAGAGGACCTGACAAAGGACATGACGACTTAGATTCATTTTCATCTGACACTTGTGAATGGAAGTTTTATGCCAGTAGTGAGGTGTGAAAAATAACCCTGTTTACCTCAGATCTCTATTATTAGATCAGTTCCCCCGGTCTCTGGTCCCCGGGCTTCCTCTCAACCAATCTGGGGGCAGCATGGAGTTCTTTCTGATGTCCATACATCTAAGAACTGTGCTCTCCTCGTCATTTACAAAATAAAATCTCAGCCCCTTAGACTTTCCTAGAAGGCTTTTAACCTCAGCTCTGACTACCACTCTATCTCCACTCATCTCCTCATTTCTCTGTACCTGTATTAAGCTGCCTCCTCCCACCTATACTGACTGGCCATTCTTGTGCATGTTTTCTTCAACCTTCCTGCTTCTTTCAGATCCATAAATTCAATATGCCATTCATATTTCAATTAATTTTTTATCCAAACCTACAATATGACAGGTGTGCTGCCTTGCCTCTTCTCAAAATATATAAAATAGCAGCAAAGGAAAGGTTGACCTCCTGGCCTATACAACTGGATTGCCTGGACTGTGTCCTGAAATTATACCAAACCTTTAAAAAGATAATTCTTATTTGTCAAATCAGTACATTAAATACTATTTCTGGAGAATAAAAAGAATAACTGATACCCCAACTTTAGTCTCATGTCAATAGAGCTATATGCTAGCTGCTTCCTTCATTCTGAGTTATTTAATATTTACCTATCTAAATCTGTAGACCAACATTTTTGTCATATTTTAAGGATACAATTAGCACTGACTGAAACCCTCTCATTAGACCCTCAAGGCAATTCCTTGGGTGGTTTAGTATCTCTGTTTCCTGACAGTACAATAAGATATAACAAAAGAGATGCTCAAAGATCTGAAAAGCTTGCAGAAAAGTTACCCACTCAGTATATGGTAAATCCTAAACTTCTGAGAATTTCAACTTGAATTAAACCTAGACATCATTAAATTAATTTTAAAACTCTTACTGCTGAGAAACAAAGTATTTATTCTTATCAAACACATTATGAGAGATCATATAGGTGATAAACCAGACTTGATACTCACTCATTTCTCCCTGCCTGAATGCAACCAGATTTATTAAGAGCCAAAAGGTCAGTTATCACAGTGGCTTACAGAAGTATCTTAAGATTCGTATGCAGCAAACACTCAAATACATGGCACCCATCTTCCCTCAGTATTAGCTACCTGTTGTTTCCTTTTACCTAATTCGGGATATGGAGAGGTTGTACAACTGGATGTGTTGAATAATTTCATCCAACAATCGATCCGTCATGGTATCAAAATCTGCAAATGTGTCCATCTGGAATGGGAAGAAGAGAAGGGAGAAGGTGTTGGGAGACGTTAATGGACTCTACATAAGAAATCTTCCTTCATTAAACAGCATGATACTTTCTGGAATGGTGTGTGAGCCTCTTGGAGGGGTTATAGTTTGAGATGTAACATCAAGGAAAAGGTCCATCGGGCTCTAATAAAGAAACTGGGTTTATGGGGAAAGGTCTTCAGTTAGAGGAATGCAGTGGACAGTCTGAGTATATGTTCTTAGCATGCGGTACCTGCTGTCACAACCTGACCTCACTATGTCTGCTGGCATGAACTCACAGGGGAGGAAGCAGGCCCTGCTAAGGGAGACCACTCAATTTGCAGGATCCAGGATTCACAGCAAAGTATGCTCGACCCTTATGCTGGTTGTTTTTTGTTTGTTTCTGTTTGTTTCATTTTGACTGTCATCTTGGCACAAGCTAAAGACACCTTGGATGAAGGAATCTCATTTGACAAAGTACTTCCTCTAGATTGTCCTTTTGGCAAGCCTACAGTGCATTTCCTTGACTGATAATTGATTTTGGAGGGCCCAGCTCGCTGTGGGCAGTCCTGCCCCTGCATGCAGTAAGAAAGCAAGCTAATCAAGCCATGAGGAGCAAGCCAATAAGCACTGTTCCTTTGAAGACTTCTGCTTCTGTTCCTGCTTCTAAGTTTCTACCTTGGGTTTCCAACCCTGTTTCCCTCAATGATGGACTGTGAGGTGGAAGTGAAATTGAAATAAACCCTTTTCCCCAAAAATATATTTTGGTCATGGCTTTTATCCAGCAATAAGAAGGATAACAGAGAAACTCCAAAGCTGCTGCTTAGGTTATTACACAAGTCAATGCCCACATATCAGCAGCTTTGGGAAAGATATGAAAGACATCGTGCCTTGTGAAGGATAACCAACTTATAAAGGAACACAAAAAGAAGAGGGGAAAACTCCACACTTGTCTAAGTATTTGAAGACATAACAGATTGGTCTATATAACAAAATTTAAAGAATATGATTGGGAGCAACACAGAAGCTTATTTAGATTCAATATAAAATGTCCCTCAAACAGTGCTGGAGCAACAGCATCTAAAGATGCCTGAGCTTCCAGCCAAAACTCTCATGAATATTTATTATGGTGGTGAAGAATTGAGTAGACCTGACAAAGTCACTTCAAAGAGATGAATGACCATCTTAAGTCCATGGTCACCTGAAGCCTTCAGCATGAGAGGGGCCCAACACAGTGGTGCTTCTGCTAGGCTCCATACAACATGTTCTTATCTGAAGCTCTGCTTCCTCTGAGGCTGTGGCCCCAGGGTTCTGTGGCTTCCACAACCTAAGTCTGTGTCTCCTTGGTCTTTAAAGGTGGAGAATGCAAAGTTATTTCTTATCACCTTAAAGACTCTTGAAAATGTTGTTAGCACACCTAAGATTGGCGCTGAAATTATTATGACCATTTATTCTCCAAGACCCTCTTTGCTCCTTTCGAAATTATTGATTAGTATATTCATTATTTTACAATTGTGTGATAATGAAGTCTGCACTCATGATGAAAACTACTCTGAAAATCTCAGCAAGGTACATGTTTGGTGTACTTTGAAAGGACCTTTGTATTCTGAGCCCTTTACAAGACTTTTAATATTTAAGCAGTGAAATAGCACAATAGGACTTAATCAGTACTAGGACAAATCCCTCCACTTTAGTGACTTGCACAGAAACCTAGTTTAAACAAGCTTCCACATGGGTAGAACCCAAACATCCTAGGACATAGCAGAGAGCATAAGGAGGAACACGCATTGAAGGCTGGAGCCCTGGCTGGACCTCTGCTATTAACCACATCCCTCTGCCCTGAAAAGAAAAGTTCACTAAGATAAAGTCAACACAAGTGCAGGGAGAAACACTGGTTAGTCATTATTCTATCCTTTTCTCTGAACGACCTGGGTTATCTCCCTCAAGACATAACCACATATGAAACATTGCCTTAGGACAGAGCACACATACACGATCTGGAGTTTATATGACACACTGTTCTTCAGGTTAGAGGGAGGATTCTCTGCAGAACTCCCAGGGTTCATGTTCTTGCTGTAAAGACCTGGTGCTAATAGTTAGCACTGGAGCTGCTCTGAAGGTGGAATAAGGAACTCAGACAGGCATCCTGAAAAAGTAGGCCCTTGAATGGTGGTTCTCCTATGTCTTCATCCCTTATATTTTACTGCCTCTTACCTGGCTTAAACCAACACAGAGCGTGTCAACAACAGGCAAAGGAATTAATCACTAGCTGTTGAGGGATGAGCTATGTATTTTCAGCTTTTGAACATTTATTAATTCATGTATGAGTGGAAATTGAAGGACAACTTAGGAGAGTTGGTTTTTACTTTCTAGTATGTAGGCCTCAGGGATTAAACTGAGGCTGTTAGGCTTGGCAACAAATAACTTCTCAGATTTGGACAGTTCTCTGTATAACTACCATTTTCACTAATCATAAGACCTTTTTCTTGCTTATTAGCAATAGTATTTTTCCAAAGGATACTTGTGACTCATTTACCTTACTCTCTGGCCATCCCTATCTCTTTCTCATACATTCACTTTGACTCTTGGCACTTCTTTAGAACTGCAGCTTCAGTCTACCATGGCTCATTGTAAAACAATCATAACCTGGTTCCTTAGTTGCAGGGGACAATACCATGTCCCCAGTCTGACTACATGAATGCCCACAGAGTTGGTAATCCCAGTGCCCAATATAACCGGAAGCCTCCAGTCAGCTGAAACATGCTGGTTCCTACCCATTGTTTTATACTTTTTTTCTCAGACTCCCAAAGAAACATTGTGTTTTTTCCCTCTAAACTACCAAAATGCTTGATATTCTTCTTGAAGGGGCCCCTCCACTTGTGTGTCCATATATCATCTTAGTGATTTTAGAAGGTCTCCTTCAAATCCAATGTTCTCTCAACCCAACATTTCTTCCATCATACCTGGTTCTTTTCAGACATTAGGAAGTCCAGTTTCCCCCCAGGGAGCCCAAGTTCTATGAATGTCTTCACCAGACGGAGGTCTGCGCTGTTCCCTGAAAATGACAGATAATCCCAGTCCTACAATTAATCATAAGAAGTCACAAGAAATAGCTTTCTCTTGCTTTCTCATATTGAATTTACCTTTTATTTTAAATCGGGTAACAAAAATAACTGAAGAACCCCACCCCCTTCTCTTCTTTTGCTATCTCAGCCCATGCACACACACAAAGGCAGGCTCTTTTGAAAGGCCCTTCTTCAATGGAATCATTCCTAGACTGGTCACATCAGTTTTCTCTCTCCCCCACAAAACTGTTCTCTCACTAGATGTTTGGAAGGGGCTGCCTAATGGCTGAGATGGCACAATGGGCCAGCCCCCTCTTAAATTACTTGCCTATCACTTTTACGTAACGGAGAAAGAGATAAATTTTCAACATGGTTCTGTTGTATAAATAGAATAAAAATTACCCTTTGGCCAAGGAATAATGGATTAGTAAGCTTGTAAATGTTTAAGCATACCATCACGGGCCAAGGAATGAAAGGTTGGCAGTTCCAGTAAGTTGCTAGGACAAGAGGCACAAACAGCACACGGACTACATTGTTGTTGACATGGGAAGCAACATGCAAAGTGAATTTGATATAACAAAGTAAGTTAGGCACACATTTCACATTGGCTGTGGGGATTCCACAGTATCTATATCAATAGGTTGCTAGTTCATAAAACGAGTTGCAACCTATTTGGTATTTTGGTAGTGTGTTTTTCCATGTAAAGCAACCCCCAAGGTCATGGTTTCAGACAAGGTATGTTCTGTAAGTGAAATTACAACGAATTATATATTGTTCTTCATAAATTTCCCCAATGATTCAAAGGTGTATAAAAGACTAACAAGAAATTTGGAAGAACTCAAGGTTTGAGACCAACCTTATGTGCATGTTCCCAGGTGCTAGCCATTGGTAGCCTATAGCACATAATTAAACATGTAGGCCCAAAGTCACATTCTTTTAGGAGAGATGCATATTTTCTGGTAGGAAGTTAAATTTCTTCACCATTCTGTTTGTTTCAATAAATATATGCTCTTTGGATTCACTCATGTTATGGCTTAAATTTCCCAAATGATATGTTGATAGTGGTCTTTTTAAAAGTTGGTAATGTTTATATTTAACATAAAGAGTTTGGGAATAAAATATCCCTTCCTCCTCAAGATACTAAGAGTAAAAGAAGTTTCTGAACCTAACCTTTCTAAACAATTTTATTTAATTATGTGTTAGACTGAGAACATTTAATACAAGAAGATAGGTTGTGGGCTTTGGGCACAAGAAAGAGCCTCTGTAAATATTAATAATTTGTCTTAATGTATTTAGTTATTAATATTAATAGGCTATGAGACAGCTCTAAGCAACAAATCCTGTAATATTCTAAATATGTTTTACACATGCTCCTTGAACTGCTGAAGTACTATCATGAAAGCTGTCTTTATTATCACTTGTTTTTCTTTTGACCTGGGGCATGGGTGATACTGTCATGGATTGTTCAACTCTCCGAATGAGCACAAAACTGGCAAATCATCTCTAGCTTTATTACATAATTCCTTTTCAATATGCATGAAGTAACAAAAGAAAGTCCTGTTTCCTGACCAGAGTTCTTGCCTTAAAGATTTATTTTTATTATTTTATTTATATGTATGTCCAGGTGAGTAATTTCGACAGGTATCGGGCAGTCTCGGAGATCAGATAAGAGTGATAGATACCTTGGCACTGGAGTTACAGGCTGTTGCGAGCCATTCATTCAGTGTAAGTGCTAAGAACCAAACTTAGATCCTCTGGAAGAGCAGCAAGGGTTCTTAACCATTGAGCTATTTCTCTGGGTCCCCAGATTTCTTATTTGCAAATAATTTTAGAGTTTTCAAAAACATTGATAAGAATCACTTTTTAGTGACATTGAGCTGATGAATGTAAAAGTCGTTTTTATCTTTACAAATCCTAGAACATAATAGTATCTAGTAAACAAAAGGTGTTACAAAAGTGAGAGATGCACACAATAGCAAAATAGTTGCAATCACTAACCCCAGGGACCTTAATATGCATATTTTATTTCTTTCTCTCCATTTCTTCTTCCAGAACTATTCTATTGACTCACAAATTCCACCAATACCTGTATTTTCCTGAGATATTAATTTCAACAATACCTCTTCCTCTCCATTCATTTATTTCATTCTCTCCATTCCAAATTCATTTTATAAATTATACAAATTATTTGCTCATTCTATTGATTGATAAAATTCGCATCACTTAATTAATTAATTAATTCATGAATTTGGATACAATATACAAATACACATATATGTATATGTACACATATATACATATATATTCTTGTGCTATGACCTTTCCTTAGATGATAAAGTTTTCATGTTTGGTTGATTTTAGAGTTAATACCTGATTTAAGTTACTTCATAAACATAAACTGAATATAAGGTAGCAATCTGAGAAGTAAACTTCTTTAAAACTTACCATCCAGGCCATGGACACAGACCACCAGGTGAATCCCATCTTCCAAGTTTTCCTCCTCTTCCTCTGGTGGGAAATACGGTATGTCAGAAGCTAGTACAGATAAGTCACTGTACAGAAATCCTTCAATCTTCAGTTCTTTTTTAAACTTTTCTTTGGCCTGATAAAAACTGGAGAATATACCAATTAATCATAAGCCATGATGTGTGTTCCATGTTGAGCAGGGAATGAATGGGGCTGGTATACAGGAGTGATGAGTATTTACAAGCAAATTGTCTTCAGAACATCAAATACTAAATATATCTTAGGGATTAAAAAGAGCTCAAGAAAACATTCCAAGTAAACCAAAGAAAGGTTTTGATTGTGCAGATATCTATTTTGATCCTGAATTGAAAAGAAGACTGGGTAATGAGACTTACAAGAATCCATGCAGTTATAGGATATAAACACCTTTCAAATGATCTCCTGAGATGGGAAGTGCCTTCCCTGTCATACAAGCCCACCGCAGTTTAGCTTCTGATTGCCTTTTAAGTACTATACTCCACCATTCCCAGCTGCAACACAGCTTTTGGGGGTTTGTGTTTTGTTCTTTTGTTTTGTTTTAGTTTGGTTTGGTTTGGTGTGATTTGGTTGTTTTCTACTCAGTACCATAAAATAACTGGCTTAACTTGATTTCTTTGTGCCTATGTGTAGTCTGGCATCTCGGAATGACTTTTATTCCCAGTTAAGATGTCATTTGTATGGTTACTTAGCAAAATGGTGGTTAACAACATTGATTCACAAATGAGAATACTAAGGTTAAAATCTTGGTTTTAACATTTCTGATAACTCTGGTTATCTGAAATGCTTAGGACCAGAAGAGCTTTTGTTTGTCTGTTTGTTTGTTTGTTTGTTTTTAAGACTTAGGGATATATACGTGTACATAGTGAGATAACATGAGGTTGAGTCCATGTCTATTCACATAATTACATTTTGTTTTCTGTATGGCCTAAGCCTATTACCTAAAGGTAAGGTAACTTAATGTAACATTTTTATTAGGGCTGACTATGACACAATTTCATGGTACAAAATTATGTTTTGTCACACCAGCTTTCAATATATTTTAGTTTTCAATAGTATGGAAATACAATTTCATTAAAGATTTATTGCTTGACATGAGAACATGAAAAAGGTCCTAATTTTGATCTAGAGCAGTAAAAAACAAAACCAAAACCAAAAAAAAAACATGTAAACTCTTGGATCTTAGATGATGTAAAATTGCAGATTTTCAAGTTAGTGATGGTCTGTTACTATTACCACCATCCTTATCTACTTCCCCCCAGCCAAGACATTCTCTCTTTTCTTCTGCTCCCTTTCTCTAATGGACGGTCATTGCTTCCAGATAAAGCCTTTGGCTCCACTGAGCATTCAATAGTCATCACATTTGCCCAACACTGTTCTTGATTGTTATGTGGCTTGGTTTTTCTGTTGCTGTAAGACTGTGAGTACAGCTAGGGCTGGGGCAACTCTGACTCAGCTTCAGACCGTGCCTATCTAATGACAGGTGTTCAATACTATTTATTACATAGAATGTCCAATGTCTGTCTGCTTGATCTATTTCTTTATGTGAATATCAGTAACTACTTGCTGTTGGCAAGAGAAGAATGATTATGAGGTGCTTTGATAAAATACTTGTATTATGTGCCCAATAAAATATATAGCTGATAACTAAGGGTGCAGAATGAAATAGTTCAAGCCAAAGGTCAAGCTATATAGTCTACTACTGCAAAAAAAAAAAAAAAAAAAAAAAGTAGCAGCTTTGAGAAGCCCACAATCTTAAAGGAAACTTAGGGGGCAAATCTAATGGAGTCCTTTTCTCTCAAAGGTCCTAAAATCTCCTTAAAGATGTGAAAAGGTAGTGTCTCAATCATATTCATAAGAGAGTTGTATATCAATAAAAACCAAACAAAATTTTCATATACCCACTAATAATTTGATTAATTAGTCATGCTACACCCATGCAATGTACTACTATAGAAGCATTAAAATGCAGAATCAAAATGGACTTACATTCAAAGATATCTCTAATATTTTAAAATGGGAAAAATGATCAAGAAGTGTCACGATAATCCTATTTTGATTAAAAATAATTATATTTAGGAGATAAACATCAACACACAAAATTTCTGTGTAAAAAAATTGTTATTCTGTTATGTTGGGAGATGTATTTATTTGTAATTCTTTCTACTACTTAGACATTCATCATTGCAATAACATGTACATTATTGTTTTATTTGCGTGAAAATGACAAGTACCTCTATGTTTAAATAGCATGCATGAAACTGAGAAAACTAAGAACTGCTAAATGACTGAGGACCTGCAGGCTATCCACAAGCTTACCTAAACATCCTTTCACTGACTTCTTCTTCCAACTTGCTGGAGTGGGAGGAAACGACGCCAAAGGAACCCAAAGGTTGATGAGTAATGGGGGCTAGGTTTTGTTTGGAAGAGAGTCCAACCCTAGCAGGGGTCTCCTTGGGTACAGATGAGAAAGGGAGACAGGTGGCAGTACAAGACACAGACAAGTTGACGACTTCCACTGCCTTCAGGCTATCCAGAGTAAAGGCCTCTGTGGAGTTCAATTGGGACCCAGAGATGGAAGTGCCTGTCTTCAGCTCCTGATTTCCTGACACCTGGGAGGCAATAGTGTGAGTCACAGTGGGGCACACAGTGCCTGCTTCATGTTTGACCTCCAGAGAGGCAGTATGTCTTCTGTTCAATGTCATGGTATCATTGACACTTAGTGAACCGTTTTGTACACCTGTAGAATTCAGGTTGACAGCTTCAACAGCTGGTGCACAAGTGATTTCAGGCACCTTATGGTGAGATGCAGCCCTGACTTCTGAGACGTGGTTGGAGGGTATGCGTTTACTCAATCTCGATTCTTTAGGTTTGACTTTTGTGGTTTCTACTGCTGCTCTATGTAAAGACCTGGTCCTAGAATTTTCAAGCACTATAGTACATGGTATTTTTAAGTTAAGAACTTTGGTTTCAGTACTTGATGTATTTTCAGCCATGCCATCCACACAACAAGGTTCTGGAGAATCAAGCTGATTCTCTTTGCTTTTGCGGATGTCCACATACCCAAGGCCCTGGGGTCTGTCAGAATCTAAAGCTATATCTGCAAGGGAATGTCCTGCCCTGACATCCTGAAGCATGGAGCTACCATAAGTATGGGAACTGTTTCTAGGTGAACTGTTGTCCTGGCTAGAAATGTTCAGGTCTTCAGCAAATACTCCTGTGTTATTCAAGCTATCTGTACCTTCAGCAGTATCCTCGGGGCTGCTGATCTGGGGAGCAGAGACAGACTTGGTTAGCTTGGTAAGTGCCAACTCCCGCTCCTCATCTTCAAAAGGCAAAGAGCTGATAGAGGTAAGAGAAGCCTGGATGCCACTGGGCAGACTAGTGTTGCTCTCTGTATGCCCGCCTTCCAAAGAGTTCCTGTGGTGGGCATGCCTCCGAACCACCTGATGTAAAGCTTCACGATCGCTGGGTATCTCCAGGGCCCTGCTTCGAGCCTCAGACCAGGCAACTGAGCTTGGCTCACTCTCAATGCCTGAGTCAGATATTATGGAGGCTGACCTCTTGATAACACCAGAGAGCACTGACAGATCTTCCTGCTCATCTGCATGGTCCAGCAGGGAAGGCCTGGTGTCCAAAGGTTCCCTCAGAGCAGTGCTCATCGGATCACAGGGCTCAGCAGGGGTGAGCTTCAGGCTCAGCAGTACAGGTTTTCCCTCCTGTTCTGCTCCCCTTCCAAGAGTCCTGAACTCAAGAGCAGCTGTTTGGCTTAAGGAGATGACATTATTCTGACTTATTCCTGCTATAACTTTGTTTGGCACAGTCTTAATAAGATCATGGCTGTCCCTAGAGCTACTGTGCTCATGCCGAACATTAAGGTCCTGCATGGGCTCAGCTCTAGGGTGATTTTTATTGCTAGATTGCACATCAAGGTAGGTCAGTGCTGGGGCCTGCCCATCCTCAGGGCCTGGACTTCTACGCATGTCCACATCTGCTAGTGAATCTTTTACAGCATCAGGTCTCGGGCCAGTCCAGCCTTCCTCTTCAGGCATCCCTGTTTTGTTTTGAAATTCACCAATGGTCAGATACACTTGAGATTCTGAGCACACATCCACAGGATTCCGGGTGGAGACATTCTCTTCCATCTCTGAACACGTAACAACATCTTCATCTGAGCCCAACTGGGGTGCTTTTGTAGTAGATAAGGAAAGGTCCTTTCTTGAAGATGATTTTTGATTTGTAAGAATCTTTTCTTTCCCTTTTAGATTCATTATTGCAGGCCTTGTCAGTGGCACATCAAAATCAGGATAAACACTCAAATTATGCCCTGTAACAAAATAAGAAAATTGTATTATAGTTTACAAACCAATTATTATAGATTATTCAAATGCCCAACTGTATGAAAATAATCCAAGAGCCCTTTATTACTATTTTTTTGAAAGGGGATGGCCTTCATGTTTGTGAAAATTTTCAAGTTACAGAAAAACTTTTTTTTTAATTAAGAGTATACAGATATTTTATGCTAACCAGGTGATGGGTTAAAGTCCCAAATAGTTTAGCTTGAGATAGATAAGGATATGAATGTAACAAAACATGTGATTAGAGGGTTGGGCAAGGAAAAAGAAATAGCCATTAGACTTCTGTGAGAAGACTGAATCTAGGTGAGAGACCAGGGCTTCACTCAATTTTGTCCATATAAGATCCATGAACAGCCAGGATCCTGTGGCAAAGAGGAACTCCTCAAATTCACAGAGTAACAACATAAATAGATGCTTCAGGATAAGGAAAGTCCTGAGAACACAGAAAGTTCAGGCCAAGCTTCAACCTAAGGATCACCCTCTTCTCTGTCTCCCATCTTTCTCTCTGTGTTTCTGTTTCTCTCTATGTATCTCTCCTCCCCTCTCTCTTCTTCTCTCTCCTCTTTCCCCTCTCTGTCTCTGTCTCTGTCTCCCTCTCTCTCTCCCTCTCTCCTTCTTCCCCATCCAGTTTTTATTTTGGGGAGATGGCCATCCTTCATTTCTAACAGTAAAACTCTAATTGTGAGCAAAGCTCCTTTTTGAGCCCTGTGAGTCATCCTAGCAAATCCTTAGATAAGGGTAAGTTAAATGAACCAAGAATTTGTATCCAGGGGCCAGAATTGCAGGCTGCCAATTTGCTTGCAGAATGTGAAATAAAATTTTGCTTGAAAGATATTAGTCTCTGACTTCCATTATGCACAACAAAAAAGAAAAGGAGAAAAAAAAAACTAGAGAAAAATGAAACTATTTTATCTTCTACCACTTACCTTTGTCAAAATACAATTAGCATCTCCTACTTGCAAATTCGAAGAGGTCAATCATAAGCACAGTGTTTACAGAGTAAGATAAAAATATAATTTAGAGCTGGGAAGGTCTGTTTGTAAAATCCAACATGGCGATTCATGAGCACCCTGGGCCACTGTGGACTTCAGTAATGTTTTCCACCTTCCTCAGCTGTGGGATGGGCAGATCCATAGGAGCCTGTATGCCTTTCACTCATTCCTAATCCATTATATGAAATTATGTCATGCGTGGAGACAAAGAATTCTACTTTCTGCAAAGCAAACACTATTAGGAGTGATCCCTGCCATCAGAATCACAGCCGTCTTCAGAGGCTGATAGCAGGGAACCAAAGTGTGATCTTTTATCTTGTTTTTTCTTCTGCTGTGTTCTATAAGCTGTTCTTTCATTTTCCCTCAATTTTAAATCCTTTCTTTTTATTCTTGTCCCACACAACTGATCAGTAACAAACATTCTCCATGTGCCCTTGTTAAATTCAAGACATGAGATGTGGCATGGGACATTTCCCACATATATCATATAAACAAGAAGATGTTGTTTTCTTTAATAGGTATAAACCCACTACTGATGGACTGCTACACTGGTTCCATCCATTTCCTTATTACTGTGAATAGTGCATCATGAACACATATCTTGGGTGGAAGAATTTACAGTTCTTTGGGTGCATAGTACTTCTGGTTTCAGTTTTGTAAGAGACTTCAGTTCTAATTCCTGTAGAGGCTTTATACTGTTAGAAACCATGAAGGCAAACAAAAAGGAAAAGGATATCCACAGAGGATCAGGGGCCAAGGGAGAGCAGCGGAGGAAAAGGAGGTCAACCACACTCCCAGACAGACCCTACATCCACCCAGGAGCTTTTGGGTAACACAAATAAGACTTAATGAATCTCTGCTATTTTTTTTTTTAACAGAACAGAAAATTGGGTGGGTAAGGTAATAGGGAGATGTTGGAGGAGAATGAATGTGATCAAAATGACTCCTCAAAGAATTTATAAAGTAGTAAGTATTAAATGTAATAAAGAAACCCATTACTTCCTATGTTAATATGTTAAAAATAAAAATAAAAGTTAAAAGGCTTCATGTGGCTTTAATAGAAGCAAAATCAATACAGCTTCTCTTATCATGAATTAAGCCATACATACCTACACTGCTTGCAGACCACATGAGGCTTTGATGCATGATTGTCTAATAATTTTCAGTGCAATTTGTAATTAGATTGATAGAGGGATGAACTCTTCCTTTACCTGGGTGCATTCAGTAAACCTGGAAGTACTGGGAGGTGTTTTCTGTCCTCTGAAGACCTTTATTCAGTTTTCAGCAAATTACCCAGTATCCCTTCTACACCCACACAGTGGGGTACACCCTACCACAGTGTGATGACCCGCTTGTGAACACTTGTCTCTCTGGAGGAGACAGCTTGTGTTTTATTTCTGTAGCCTGCAGTCTGACACTCTGTCTAGTACATATTTGATGAACTGTGCTCCCGAGAGGGACTAAGCCAGGAACAGGAATCTAGCAAAACAAAGAATATTATATTCATGTGTTGCTTTTATTGGCTTGAATGCAATTATTGCAATGATGTTTAGTATCACAAAGACTATAACTAGCATGACTTTGGTGAAAAAAATATCTCCATACTAGGAAGTGGGTAGGTAAGATCGAAAGTGGGCATTTGTTATAAGCACCAAGAAACTTTTCAAAAAATATTGGGAAGCACACAAAAGAACAACAAGTTGCCTTGCCAAAAAAGTGTGTCTGCTGTGGCAAAGCTAGAATGAATGGTTTCCAGGGATCAGGCAAGTAAGGAAAGGAAATATGTGAAGAACACAGAGAGGGATTTAAGGTGGTGAAAACGATCTACATGCTGTATGTGATGTGTTAGAGTGGTCAATGTATACCACAAAAGGAACCCAGAGTAATGCTAATACCAAATCAACTTTAGATAATAATTACTTACCTAACATAGAGGCATGGACTGGAACACGAGTTCCCCTTGAGTGGAGGCTATTGGTGGTGCAGCTGAGAAAGTATTCATGTGCAGGGCCAAGGAGTACATGGACTACTTCTGTGTAGTCCACACACTTTTTATATCTCTATTGCTGGGAATTGAAATCTAAAAATCATTTTATAAAGAATAACTTACAAAAGTAAACAGAAGTAAATGAAGCACAGCAGGACAGTGTTCTGGGGGATGCTTCCTCAGAACAGCAGACACTGGATCATGGTAGACTCGGGGATGTCACAAACAAAGACTAGAATTCAGGAGTGTATAGTCCCTAAGTGGATGAAGTGAGCATAAACAGAGGGATATGACTATGAACAGGCAGAGATAATCTGAAATATGGATCAGCTTGCAAGCCGTGAGTGAGTTTGTGACAAATGTCGTAGGGGAAAAGTTGTAGATTCTTGGAAAACAAAATATTTATAAGGCCCATCCTTGACTAAGAGACAGGATGCAAGAAATGGCAGTGAGGAAACTGTTGTCAGCGTAATAATTTGGAGTTGTCATTAAAACTGTGAGAGACTGAGAAGAACAAAGCATCTCACTCAGAGAGACAGGTGGAGAGCCAGACACTGGCGACTGGTGTTAATTAATACCCGTTGGCCCTTGGCTTTAGTCCTTCAATGTTTTACACCTCCCAAAATAACCCTGTAGTAGATACCCTTTTGTTCAACTTCATACACTAATGGTTGGAAAAAATATTTGAATATGATCACTGTGATGAACTCAGTTGTCTTGCAACAGAGTATGGACTCCCAGGAAAACTACGACAATTTCTGAAACAGAGCACATATTCCTGCCTTGACTCTAACCACAAATGCACACAAATATTGCAAATAGAAACCAAACTTGTGTACATCCCATTTGATGCTACCCTGAAAGAATGTACTAAGAATGTGTCTGACAACCTTGGCAACATAAAACTATTTAGGCCACCACACTCTTGCAGAAAGAGGAAATAGTTCAATGTTGTATTAAGATATTTTGATTTGGATTAAAAAACCACCCAATACTTTGTAAAAGAACAAATCAGTCAAGAAAAGCTTTGAAATTAATAAATAAGAATTAAGAAAGTTTAGAAGAAAAGCTTTGAGTTTTAAGTGGGCAAGCCAGTAATGCTTATGAGACAGCAGTAACACATCAGGTCAGGGCTTTATGGGGGACACCCTGAGGAGACAGTTAGACAGGTAAGAGTAAATGTTCACTGTACCTAAATAATTGAGACTACAAGGCTGATGTTCAGGCCACAGCTTATGACAAACAATGCAAAGAGAGATGTACTATTTAACTTATGTGTGACATTTAGCTTTTGTTGTCAACTTGATACAATCTAGAATCACTTGCGATGAGAGTCTTTTTAATTTAATTTTATTTTATTAATTACACTTTATTCACTTTGTATCCCCCCATAAACCCCTCCCTCCTCCCCTCCCAACCCCACCCTCCCTCCCCTTCTTCATGCATGCCCCTCCCCAAGTCCACTGATAAGGGAGGTCCTCCTCTCCTTCCTTCTGATCTTAGTCTATCAGATCACATCAGGAATAGCTGCATTGTCATCTTCTGTGGCCTGGTAAGGCTGCTTCCCCCTCAGGGGGAGGTGATCAAAGAGCAGGCCAATCAGATTTTGTCAGAGGCAGTCCTTCTTCCCATTACTATGCATGGGCTACATCTGTGCAGGGGTTCTAGGTTATCTCCATGCATGGTACTTGGTTGGAGTATGAGTCTCTGGGAAGGAACCCCACAAGGAGAGCAACAGAACCAGAAATTTGAACATAGGGATCAGAGTCTTAACAACATATTTTCTACATTGGCTTGGCCTATGAGTGTGTCTGTGGAGGGCTGTTTTCATTAAGTTATTTGATGTTGGAAACCCAGCCTACTATGGGTGGCGCTGTTTCTTAGGCTGGGGATTCTGAACTATATGAGTAGAGGAATAGAGATGAATACAAGCAAGCGAGCAAGAGTACAGCGTTCATTTTTTCATTGTTCTTAACTGTGGTTATGATATGACTGGTTTTTTTACTTTCTCAGAGTGATGTACTTTAGCCTGGATCTGTAGTCTGAAGCAAGCATCTTTCTCCCCTAAGTTTTTGTGTCAGAGTGTGTTATCACAGCACCAGAAATGAAGCTTGGACAATGATGGCTTACAAGAACCTGGGTAAGCAAATGTCTGCTGTCATATCTCCTCATGTTAAGACTCGAGACCCAAATGAGTAACATGGGTAGAATGCAGTACATTGGAAGACCTTGTGGGGAAAATATATATAGTTTTCAGCTGAAGCTATGGGCTAAGAGAAAGTGTAGTTGATTCAAAATAAAATAAAATAACCTGATAGAATAACATGCACGAAGACTGAAATTTATGCTCACTGCAATATTTATCAACATCTGCAACTAAAATGACTGGGAAACAATCTACATCAAATTCTGATGGAAAAATATCAGAGGTTCTTATAATTCATGCTTAATTTCCTCAACTGTTCTAAATTGCTGGAAGTTATGTAACTATAAGATGTATTAATGAAAACACAAGCATATAAACAAATGCACACATGTGCGAGCATGCGTGTGAACACACACACAATCTGTGCATTTAAAGAAACTAATCAAGAGGGAGGATCCCGACTAAAATGCTCAATCCCCATCCCGAAAGGCAAAGAGGATGGACATCAGAAGAAGAAGAAAACAGGAAACAACCTAGGAACCTGCCATAGAGGGCTTCTGAAAGGCTCTGCCCTGCAGAATATCAAAGCAGATGCTGAGATTTATGGCCAACTGCTGGGCAGAGTGAATGGAATCTTATGAAATAAGTGGGAAATAGTAAGATCTGGAGAAGACAGGAGCTCCACAAGGAGAGTAACAGAACCAGAAAATTTGAACACAGGGGTCTTTCCAGAGACTCATACTCCAACCAAGTATCATGTATGGAGATAACCTAGAACCCCTGCACAGATGTAGCCCATGACAGTTCAGTGTCCAAGTGAGTTCCATAGTAATGGGAAGAGGGGCTGTCTCTGACATAATCTGATTGGCCTGCTCTTTGATCACCTCCCCCTGAGGGGTGAGCTGCCTTACCAGGCCACAGAAGATGACAATGCAGCCACTCCTGATGAGATCTGATAGACTAAGATCAGAAGGAAAGAGAGGGGACCTCCCCTATCAGGGGACTTGGGGAGGGGCATGCATGAAGAAGGGGGAAGGAAGGTGGGATTAGGAGGGGAGGAAGGAGGGGTTTATGGGGAATACACAGTGAAAAAAGTGTAATTAATAAAAGTTTAAAAAAAGAAAGAAATAAAATTAAAGGAGTACAACTGAAAAAAAAAAAGAAAAGAAAAAAAATGTTTAAAACATCATTGAGTTGGAGGTTTAGAGTAACTCAGGATACACTCCACTTGTCATACACTATCTTGACGCTAGATGTCAGAGTACAACTGGAATCCAGATTCGTGTTTGCACTCTTTGTCCCTCCAAGTCATCTAGATCCCGGAATACAAGTTTCCAGTTTCAGAGTTTCTGAAATGTAACCATTTTTCTGTGCTTTATAAAGCAGCAAGCAAATTAGTCTGGCTTAAAACACCTGAGGAACGTAACAGAGCAGAGCTGCAGAGGCTGCACTCTGGAGTTGAGTATATACCACACACACACACACACACACACACACACACACACACACACACACAATTTAAAGGATTAAAGAAATAAACCATTTTGTTAAAGTTTAGTTAAACCATTAATATGGCACTTGACATTTTCTGCTCACAGCTGTGTTTCTATGGTCAAGTTGTGAAAGAGAACAGAATAGGGACGTTCATTTCTTTGTGTTTGGTCATTCTGCAGTTGGTCTCAGGGTTCACTGAAAAACAGTTCTCAGTGTACACAAATAAAAGGTACAACCTTGTTCTTTTACTCCCTGATACAGTTATCTGTTCGTAGATTCCCATAGTTACACAGACCATTTTCTCAAGTCCTTGACCTGCCTTGTGGCATTAAACAGGTACTTGGATTACATAGTGAGTGGCCAGCTAGAATGATAGCAAAACCTTACCCAAAGGAACTAAACAAACAACCACTACCACAACAACCACCACAACGGAGGCACTAACTCAGTGCCATTAAAGCTTAGAAAGAAATGGCTGTAGTTAAAACTTGAGATAACAAACGGTTATCACCAGCCTTTGATAGCTCTTGTGTGTCTCTGTGTGTGTGTGAGTGTGTGTGTGTGTGTGAATGATGTGTTTGTGTGTTACTCTGTAGGTAAAAACACAAGCACCAGAGACATTTTTGAACCAGAAAAGTCCATGTAGGCCTTAATACCAACTCTTCTTTCACAATTCCTTAACTCCAAAGGAAAATGCTGCATCCGTTTGCTTCTACTGTTGTGAAGAGCGGTCACCAGAACTCCAGTAGCACTAGTTAACGCACTACTACTTACCCGGGAAGCCTAATTCTTGTTTCTTTTCAAAACAACAGAGAAAGACAAACCTGAGGCAGGGCAGTCCACATATCTGTCCTCAAAGATAACGGGCAGGGTGTTCCAGTCACCGTCAATATCCAGGCACTCTGCGGGCAGTGGGGGCATGCTGGTGAGGTACTCTGAGTTCCGGATATCCAGAGACAGCTGGCTGTGGGTCTGGGTCCTGTGGAGAACACGGACAGGTAATCACCCACTCAGGACCGACAGTTTTGAATAGAATCTTATCATTCTAACCCCAAGAAAGCATTAGCAGCGCTTTTAGCACATCCTGGCAAGGACCATCTTCGTGCCCTCCAACCACCCTACCCCTCTTCCCCCCTGCCCGATGTAGTAGTCTCCTTTGCTGAGGAACTGATCCAGGGACTAGCATTGGTGCAGTGCATTGTGGGATTGGCTTACACAGGCCGGTTACGAGAAGGTAATTAGCACTAGGCTACTGAAAGGCAAGCTAAGAAATGGCTACAGACCTAAAATTTGTGCTTTGGAGGAGAAAGTTAAATTTACTCATCTATTACTCCAGCATCTTTAACTTTTTAAAGTACTTAGAGTCTGAGTCGTATTTGATACATCTGAGTTAAAAGCCACCTGAGGTAGCTTCTTTATTATTACGTGGTTACTGACAACTTTTATTAGTGTGTAAGCCACCATAAATCAGGAAGGATATACTTTCTGTTTCCCTGTGTGGGGGGGGATTTTTCAAGCTCATATTTAATCTCTATGACCTAAACATAATTCTACCAAAGAAGAATTTGATTTCAGAATCTGAGGTAATTACTACTTTATGATTTAAAAGTTGGGAGGGGCATGCTATTTTAATTCCCTACCCAGAAGAGATTAAATTCTTATTATGAAAAAAAAACTAATTAATGTTTTATATTTGTATAGAACAACTAAGTCACTATTCCCTAAGGAAAGAGGACTTCTAGGATTGTAGATTTGGGAGAAGACTGAACATGTGTCTGCCGGGCTACCCGCCTGCTGGCCTGTACCTCTTTATGTAACAGCCTCCACTCTAGACACTCCCATGTCACTTCCCAGCCATGTGGGCCATATGTGTGTATGAAGTAACTGTAGCTGTGTAACCCTGCACAGATTCATCACAAATTCTAAACATTATATCATCACCATCAACAGAAATACCACGAGATCAACACATACACATCAGTGATTTGTGGCATATATATGATATAAATATTAATATAATGTTAATTATGACAGCATATATTCATTTTTATAGATTAAATATGTTTGCTTATTTTTTCTATTTTCTAGTTTCACCTATAGTAATAAAGTGAGAAATTTTTCCTCTTATTCAAAGCTTTATAGAAGTTGTTGCAACTTTATACCTATTTGAATATTTAATTATTTGGATGTTGTAGCTGGATATTTAAATATTTTGTTTCATTGGGTCTGCGCTCTATTCCACCTTTGCTCTCCTAAGTATGTAAAGGTGTATCCAGAAGACTCTGGCATGTGAACTGATGATAAGCTTGCCAGATCTTGATTTCAGTGTGGACAGGCACCATTTGATAGGCTGAACAGCACAAGGATGGACAGAATGAACATTTTTTTTCCCCTGAAACCAGGATACATTTGTTTTCTCCTGTTATCTGACATCACTATCCCAGGTTCTCCAACTTTCAAACCATGGGGCTCATAGCACCATCCCTAACCCTCAGGTTCCTTTACACATGAAACTGGTCCCCTGGTCCCAACATCTTCAAACACCGCTTGCTTCTCTGGCTCTCTGGTTTCCATACTGATCACAGTGGAGCCTGTCAACTTGAACCCGAGGCTCACTAGTTCAGCTAACTGACTGATCAACCAATTTCAAGGATCCTACTGTCTCTTCTTCTGCAATGCTGGCATTACAAGTACTTGCCACGACACCTTGCTTATTACGCCAGGGCTGGTGATCTGAACGTAGGTCTTCTTATGTACATAGAAGCCATTTTCTTAACTGAGCCTTCTCTCCAGATCCGGGGGGGGGGGGAGGAATGTCCTTTTAACTGTTAATCTGTGTTGTACATGCTCCGTGTAACTAATGACTTCAACACTTCACTCTCACCAAAGACAGATCGTCTAGACAGAAACTAAACAGAAATGCTTAAACTAGCAGATGATGTGAATCAAGTGGACGAAACAGATATTTACAGAGCATTCCATCCAAAACCAAAAGGATGTACTTTCTTCTCAGCACCGCACAGAACCTTCTACAAAACTAACCATATAATAGACACAAAGCAAACCTCCACAGACAAGAAAATTGAAATAAACTCTTATAACTTATCATACCACCATGGATTAAAGCTGGACTTCACCAACAACAGAAACATTTGAAAGCCTATAAATTCACAGAAACTGATGACTCTATCCAATGATCAATGGGTCAAAAAAAATTAGAAATAAATTAAAGACTTTCTAGAATTCAATGAAAATGAATGCATGACATATTCATGCTTAGGAAACACAATAAAAACAGTGCTAAGAGGAAAGTTCATAGCACTAAGTTCCTTCATAAAAACTTGAAGAGATGTCATACTAGCAATTTAAAATCAAATCTGAAGACCTCTAGAACAAAACAGAGCACACATGCCCAAGAGGAGTAGATGACAGAAAATAATCAACATCCATGTTGAAATCAATAAATTAGACACAAAGACAACAATACAAAGAATCAAGAAAACCAACGCTGGTTCTTTGGGAAATTCAATAAGATAGACAAATCCTTAGCCAAGCAAAGAAATGGCAGAGAGACAGTACCCATATTGACAAATTCAGAAATGAAAGGGAGTCACAAAAAAAACAGATAGTGGGGAAATCCAAATAATTATTAGATCTTACTTAAAAAGCCTGTACTCCACAAAATTGGAAAATCTAAATGAAATAGATGAATTTCTTGATAAATTCCAAAGTTGAATCAAGATAAGGTAAACAATTTTTTTTGTTTTATTTATTTATTCTTTTTTAATATAATATATTATATTTATTACAATTTATTCACTTTGTATCCCAGCTGTAGCCCTTACCTTTGTCCCCTCCTAATCCCACTCTTCCTTCCTCCTTCATCTCCTCCCATGACACTTCCCCAGTCCACTGATAGGGGAGATCCTCCTCCCCTTCCATCTGACCCTAGCCAATCAAGTCTCATCAGCACTGTCTTTCATAGTCTTCCTCTGTGGCCTGGTAAGGCTGCTGCCCCCTCAGGGGAAGGTGATCAAAGAGCCAGCCACTTGGTTCATGTCAGAGACAGCCCCTGTTCCCTTTACTAGGAAGCCCATTTAGAGAATCAGCTGCCATGGGCCACATCTGTGCAGAGGTTCTAGGTTATCTCCATGAATGGTCCTTGGTTGGAGTATCAGTCTCAGAAAAGATCCCTGGGCCCAAATTTGGGATTCTGTTGTTCTCCTTGTGGAGCTCCTGTCCTCTCCAGGTCTTACTATCTTTCATAACATTCCCTGTACTCTGCCCAAAGTTTGGCTATGAGTCTCAGCATCTGCTTTAATACCCTGCTTGGCAGTCCTCTGTGATGGACTCCTGTTTTGTTTCTTGTTTCCAATGTCTATCCCATTTGCTTCACAGAAAGAGGATTGATCATCTTACCCAGCGTTCTCCTTCTTACTTAGCTTCTTTAGGTGTACAGATTTTAGTATGATTATCCTATAGTATATATCTAATATCCACTTATAAGTGAGTATATATCATGTGTGTCTTTCTGCTTCTGGGATACCTCACTCAGGATGATCTTTTCTAGTTCCTACCATTTGCCTGCAAATTTCATTGTTATTTTTTTTTTCATTTCCTTGTTTTTAGTTGCTGAGTAGTATTCCATTGTGTGAATGTGCCACAATTTTTGTATCCATTCCTCAACTGAGGGACATCTGGGTTGTTTCCAGATTCTGGCTATTATGAATAAGGTTGCTATGAACAAGGTTGAGAAAATGTCCTTGTTGTATACTTGAGCATCTTTTGGATATATTCCTAGGAGTGGTATAACTGGATCTTGAGGTTGCAGTATTCCTGATTGTCTGAGAAAGCACCAGATTGATTTCCAAAGTGGTTTTACAAGTTCACATTACCACAAGCAATGGAGGGGGGTTCCCTTTTCTCCACATCCTCTTCAGCATGTGTTGTCATTTGAGTTTTTTATCTTAGCCATTCTGATGGATGTAATAGCCCAAAACTGGAAACAGCTTAGATGTCCCTCAACCAAAGAACGGATTAAGAAAATGTAAATTTACACCATTGAATACTACTCAGCTATGAAAAACAATGACATCATGAAATTTGCAGATAAATGGGTGGGACTAGAAAATATCATCCTGAGTGAGGTAACCCACAAGCAGAAATGGGATGTACTCACTTATATGTGGATATTAGCCATAAGGTACATGATAGCCATCCTAAAATCCACAGACAAAGAAGCTGTGTAACAGGGAGGGCACAAAGGAGGATGCTTGAATTTCACTCAGAAGGGGAATAAAATAGACACCTGAAATAGATGGATAGAGGGATGTGGGTGGGAGAGAGGACAGGGAGGGGAAAAGGTGTGGGGATCAGGTGTAGGGAGAATGAGAAGGACTGGGAGAAAGAAGGGAATTTAATGTGGGAGCATCTGTGGAACAGGGAAGGCTTCTAGGAGTCTATGGTGGTGACCCTAGCTGAGACTCTTAGCAGCAGTGGATATGGAGCTTGAAGTGGTCACCTCCTGAAGCCCCGTAGGACTTCCAGTGGAAGGAGGGGGATGCAAACCAACCTATAAAACCTTGTACCCTGACAACCAATGACTCTTCTAACTTACTAATTATATTATGAGAGAAAGCCCGCCTTCTGCCACTATTAATGCTATACTTGCAGACAGGAGGCTAGCATAACAACAGTTATCTGAGTGGTTTCACTCAGGCACTGATGAAAACCCAAAGCCAAACATCAGGTGGAGCTAGAAGAATCTTATGAAAGAAGAAGGTTTGGGAGAGCCAGAGTGATCAAGGATACCACAAGAAAATGCCTACAAAATCAACTAATCTGGGCCCATAGAGGACTACAGAGACTGACCCACTATCCAGAGAGCATCCACGGGACAGCCCTAGGTCCTCCACACATATATCACAAATGTACAGCTTGGTCCTCATGTGGGGACTCTAGTAGCAGAGCAGAGGTTGTCTCTGTTTTATGCATTTGAGCCCTTTCCCCTAACTGGGCTGTCTTGTCCAGCCTCAATAGAAGAAGATGTGCCCATTCCTACTTGATATGCCAAGGAGGGTTGATATCCATGGGAGGTCTCTCCTTGTCTGAGAAGGAGAGGGAGTCATAAAAGGAAGGGGAGAGGTAGGAATTGGAAAGAGAGGAGGGAAGGACAGTTCTGATCAAGATGTAAAATAAATAAATTAATTAAAGAAAAAATTAAAGAAATTAAGATGGTCAACTGGGATTTGAAATGCTAACGTCCAGCTTCATTTTCATGCTAATAAACCATGAACTGAACTTTTCATGAATCGGCATTATTTTGTGGTGCAGAAGACACGGCATGAACTAGTCTCCTGCCCCTCTCTTCTACCTTCCAGTTCCTGCTTTCCTCCATCACGTTGGTCTCAGACTGAGATCATTAATAGAAGGTCTTCTTGCTTCGTAACCAATGTGCACAGCCTGAGTTGCTATAACCACAGACTGAGGTCAAATGTTACATCCTCAATTATATTTTTTTCTCTTTGTTAAAATCAGACCACGACCCTCACACAATTTTGCCTAAAAGGTAGTTGATGCTCGTTTGCAGGAATAAGCTGTATGTGTCTCTTTCTAGCTTCATACATCATAATAACTCAAATAACTTGAAACATTGTTGTGGGGAATTCACATAACAACTCCATAAATGCTTTATAGTACATGGCTTGGTTTTGGGATTCTGAAAACTAGTGTTCAGCCATTTATGAGAGCACCTGCCATACCCTTTCTCATTCCATATTCCCTTATCTTGCTTATTTTTTTTACACCTGTAACTACCTGAATGAGTGAATTTACGCTTCCTATTAGTTAGGTAGAATTCCTACAAGACCTCATCTCTAGTCCACATGGACAATTAATGGTCATTCATCAATCACCATCTATATTTACATAACCATTTACACAGAAAGGTCTCTGGCTTGCACTGTTTGCACTCTGTGTGGATGTTCCCATTTTGTCCTTTCGTCTTTCACTTTTGACCATTTTATGGTGACAGAAACTATGAGTAACCCATTGATTTCCTTCCTTGCTGCTTGATAAAATGTCCTGCTGTAAGAGGCTTATGGGAGGAATAATTTTTTTGGACCTCATTTCTCAGTTATAGTCCACCCTTGCAGAGAAGTCACGTCAGCAGATGAAAGCAGCTGGTCAGTCACAGGCAAGAACAATGCTTTCTCCACTTTCTATATTCCAGAATGTCCTGCCCAGGGAATGGTGTCACCCATATTAGGCAGGTCTTTTCAACTTGATCACTGTAAACAAGAAAATCGCCACAGACACTCCCTCAGGCCAACCTAATCTAGACAAGCTCTCATTAGTACTACCTTCTCAGCGGATTCTAAATTTGATAAAATTGACAAAAACCGACCATCACAATTAGCTGCAGTTGAGATTAAACTGACAGCAGGAAAGTTAACTTCTCAAGGACTCACTCACTGTACAGCACTGGATACCCAATGTTACGAGGACTTTGCACAGGTGTCCAGAGGGCTGGCATTCTAACCAAATGATGCACACAGATTGTGATGCTTAATTTTCATTGTCAACTCAACTAAACTGAGAACCACCTGGGAGAGACACACACTCTGGACATGTCCGTGATCAATTTTCCAGGGTGTCACTAATGATGGGAGAACCACTCTGAACGTGGTAACATCAGTAGGCTGGGGTCCCAGTCTGAATAAGACGGGTCAAAAAGAGGAAGTGAACTGGGTACAAACATTTCTTGTTCTGCTTGACTTCGATGCCTTGTGACAGCTGCCTCACTCTCCTGCAGCCTTGACTTCCTGTCAGGATGACCCTTCAAATTGTGGGCCACCCTCCTTTAAGTAGATGTTCTTTGGCATTTTAATCCCAGCGATGAGAAAATTAATTAGTACAGAAATCAATGGTCTCTGTGACCTTCACTTCCCCATGAGTTCACACTCTCTGAGAAACATGGTTTACCCATAACACAAACTCCACCTTTTCCCTATTTTGTATAGACTTCCAGGAATGCATTTTCCCCCCTATATTTCTGAATTTCAGTGTTTTGTTCAGTGGCCCTCGAGGTTATATTTAACTTTAACAGATTTGTTCTTCCAGTTCTAACTGTCAAATTAGTCAGCCGGTTCTAGCCTGAGACTTGAAAAAAATTAGTGAATGAATGAATGAGTGAATTAATGAATAATTTCATTGATGTGCTTGTAGAAGACCTCAGTGATATCTTAACAAGCTATTTTCACAAGAAGATGCATTTTCCTTGCTGTCCCACTCACTCTCAGAACCAAAAGCAAACACTAAATGTCACTGTAGTTTGCATACACAATGAAACCTGTGGAAGAAACAGGATTGTATACACTATAATGAAAGATTTACAGGTCTCTCTTATGCAACACAAAAATTCCATCAGCCTCTTCTGATGGATGCACTGTGGCCTCTCAAACACGATCCCATTCACCATTTCTTTTAGACGAACAGGTTATTCAAAATGAAAATATTGGTGGTCATCAGATCTCAGTGTGGTTTCTGCCTGTCTTCCCCAGGGAACCTAAGAAACCTCATCTCTCATCACCCCTTGAACTTACTTGAATACTTTTCAGTACTTTCTGAAAAGAAGGCAATCATAGAAAGGCATCAGTCCTCCTGATTAGAGATCTTGGGTTTAATTATTGTGCTAAATATATGTTTTAGCTACTGCACCATAGGGCTTTTCTGACATAGCATGTGCCCACACTGCCTGCTTCCATTAATTTTGCAGACTTGGCACAGATGTCGGCAGAGGCTTGGGAAGTCTCATTTCGTCCTGATAGACATGGAACAAAAGAAACCTTTGGCTATTGACCTTTCCTGCCACCTGCAGCCCGTGCCTCCCTAGTGTGAATACTTTCTCCACCTGCACAGTTTGTAGACTGAGTGTGCAAAGGGAAACAGAGTGTCTGTTTCACAGCAAGAGAAGAAAAGAAAGGGAAGTCAGAACAACAACAGCAAAGGGCTGAATGCCTTGGGTGGCCACTTTAACGGGATGAAGTGGGTGGGCAATTTATTACTTACAGGTTTTCCTGAAAGGTCAAGACTGCAAGTTTTTGGTGCTCCATGTAAAAGAAAGCTTCAGAAAACCTTCGGACCTGAGGGGTGACAACGTAAACAGCTTAATTCTTCAAGTGGAGATAGCCTCCATTTTCTAAACTTGAGAGTCTGGAGATTAGGTGTGATCTTTTCATGGGAAGAAAACTGTGCCTGCACACAGAGGACTGAAACAAGAGGCTTCCCACCCTCCACATAAGCCTACACATCTTTATAGCACTTAGCTCAAACAGTGTAGTATGTGTTTTTAAACTCATTCCTGTTCTGCTTTGATCTTTATAAAGTATTACTCTCTCTACTAGAATCTGAGATATTCCCAGGCCGGCATTTTAAATAAGTGCACAATGTGGAGAATTCCTAAAGCAGTGGCATTTGCTATGTGTTCTGTGGACTCTGATTCTCTTACAGTTATTTCTCTTGTGCAAAATGAGATCCACATTAAGCCATACATATTAATACCTACACCTACTGAGTCAGAATGAGGCCAACACTTTACATCGAAAGCACTTTTTCCTGAGTATTTTGAGACACTTGTAATAGTCAATTGTATAAGCTCAGCTATTATCAGATATAGACAAGGAATGTGTCCATATCTGGACTGGACAGAACAGGACTGGAGTAGCTAACTGGGTTTTTGATGTCAGAACGCTTGTTCAGTTGAGTGGGACCTCTGTTGAAAGCTATAGATTAACACAGTGCCTGAGCTGCTTACTCTCAATGAACCAACTTTTGCAAAACTTCTCCTTAAGTATAAACACATGCAGTCAGAGAGTTGATAGCACTGTACAATTTACCCTCAAAGTGTGATGTTCCTGGGTGAGATAAGTGGTCACTTGAGAGTGCAGGGTCACTGTGTCCAGGAATTGTGTCCACAAAGCCATCAGATTGGAAGCCAGCCAGGCAAGATCCTTGCTGATCTGCTCAGCTATCTTCTCTGGGTTGTTCAGCATCTGGAGGGGAAAACGGTATAAGTCAAAGACCTAGCTCTTTTGGGCTGCTCCAGTCCTCATTCTGGGATCATCAGTTAGCTCCTCTGTCCCTTTCCACACATGGTGTAATACCATATTATGATGTATCATGACACATGTGCTTTAATGCTACATTATTATAGCAAGTGTCTCATGCTATATAATATAGAACTGTGTAATCCTGTTCCTTTGGATGTGAGAGTTAAGAGAAGCAGCAATGAGAAGAGTAATCTATTTGGCAGTTCCTGTCTATAGATTAACATTCAGATCCCATGGTCTCATTACAAGGTTAGCCTGTATCTGTCTATCCCCAATCTATGTTTTCCCTCTCCATGCATGTTTTAAGTGAGGCCCATTTCTGTATTTCCAAAAAATGTTTTGTCTAGTATGTCATCTCGGCTTTTATATACAGTTGCTCCCATTTTCAACTCTCTACCCCAAACTTCTGATCTCATGACCTTAGAACCCATTTTCCCCAAATATCAGCACCTAAGTCTTTTATCCATTTTTCATGGCATTTGCACATTGCACCAAAGAGAAAGCAGCCATCGCCTCCTCCCTCAGACCCATGCACTCAGGGCAGAGATCTTTGAGCTAGAATCTACCCTGCATTTCCTTAAACTCTGAACTCTGTGCTTTATAATCACAACGGTTCCACTTACTAATGTTTATCACTTGGCAGGAGGACAACCATAAATTTTATACATGCTTCACATTCAATTCATACAATTATCTTTTAGGTAGAATATTATAACCATCCTTTCACAGAAAGCAAAATGACAGTGAATTAGTAGAGCATCTAAAATCCCACCCAACTAAGATTTAACTGGATAACTATATAACCACAAAGCCATATACTCAATCTCAGTGGGTACTTAAAATACCTCTGAAGACAATACAATTCTCAGAAACCCAAAATACTTAACTATCTGGGTCATTAGACACACTTTCACTGGCTTTGAGTCATCAGTATCTTCTTAACCGTCACTTTCCTCTTCTTATGGAGGATTTCAGGTTACCTTAATTACAATATGAGTCAGACTACAGTGGGCCTAAAGCCTTTGGTGTAGGTTCTTTTGGTAAGAAGATGGTGGAGAAATAACTGTGGCTTAGAATGGGGAAAGCCATATTCTAAGGGCATAAGGGCAAAAAAAAAAAAAAAAAAAGTTAAGAAGATGAAATGCTCCTCTGAGGAGTAACAAGAAGCCCGACCACTGAGCTCCAGGCTTCATCAACACACAGAAAGCAATTAGAGGGCATCTTCCTGGTCTTGTTTGGAAAAGAAGGACATGTGCTAAGTTAGAGAGGGCCTCTGCTGTTGTAATGGAAATCATAGGGATATGTCCTAGCAAGAATGGTATGGAGCTTTCACAAAGCCACAGCCATTCAAAGCCAGTCTCTTTCCCTCCGTCATCCTGTGCCTCAGTTTCCTTATTAAATACACAAATAACAGCATCTAGATACAGTTTTGTAATTGTTGTTATTGAACTGAGTATTAATTCTGGATAAAGACAGAGAAGGTAAAGGTTCATATCTAAGAGTAAGAGGTTGAAGGAGATGTTCCCTGCACAGTGAGGCTCTTAGCACTTGGAGATACTTGCTTTTTTATTATTATTATAACTAGCTTCCAGATGCAAGGCTCCAGTTACACAGCATCTTCTAAAACGTGTGTATACCCTTTCATGACTATTGACAGCTCAGCCACATAAGTATCATGAGTAGTCAGAGAAAGAGAAGGAAAGGTTCAGGGGAGTGGACCTGAGGGACAGGATATATCACTGGGAAAACTCCAGATTGCAAAGTGGAGCTTTTCAATGAAATCCAAGTAGCTCATACTGAGATTCTTCAACCAGAATCTTCACTAATGACATCCAATGTACTATATCAACACTCAGCACTATATTGCCACTGGGAATGATTCCCACCTTATCCAAAGTTATCACACCTCTTACCAAATGTACCACCATTGTCCTAACTGTGCTGACTCACCTAAAGCAGCATGCTTAGGCCTGGCTATTTGCAACACCAGACCATTGTTCAGGCAGCATCTTCCCTTTGGAATGGCTTGTCCTCTCTTTTCATCTTCTTATTTACTTTCTTGTTCTGTTCATCACTTCAGGATGCTCTATCATCCACCAGGGAATGACTAGGGAGTCAATTCTATTTCCTGGTATTTATGACAATACTATTCTATGCTATCAGTCTAAGGCTCATTCCTCTCTTTCGAACTCTTCTTGACTATGTGCCCTTGACCTTCCTAGACCATCCTAATGGCCCCTCTAACAGAAGTGTGGCTTGTTCTACTGCCACTGCCTCAGTTTGTCCACATTTTCAGTTTAACCTCTCAGTCTCCCTACTTCCAGCACCCTAGGCAATAAATAATGTGAACTCAGCAACCCTTTAGTACAGAAATAGGTGGATTAAAATCTCTGAGAGATGTCCCATGTCTCAATTATGTAGTCCTGCCTTTCTGGGATTCTGTTTATGCCCTCTAAGCACTCCCCCTCCACCAGAGTAGCACTGGCAGACATAGTATGAATTCTGAGTTCAACTACCATAGGTGAAGATGGAAAAAAGAAAGATTTCATTAGACAAGTCTTTGGGAGAATTATTTTCTCCATAGTTGATTCTATAAATAGCTTCAGATGAGATTACAGAGGCTTCTAAGTAAGCCAAGGGAGGACTTTCCTATCATTACCGACACATGGAACTGTATAACTACACATGACAGGTATGGATAGCTTTCAGCAGCAGGTGAGGGAGGGGCCTTACCTGCTAACAAGCAAGTAATCATGGCACATTGCTTTCACAGGGCCTGGGGCCTTTGGTGGAGACTCTTTTGATAAGAACATGTTGGACAGGTAACTGTGGCTTAGAATGAAGAAAGCTCAGCGACCTACTTTGACTATTCCCAAAGCCTTGATCGTTTGGGCTCTAACCACATTCACTCCTCAGCTGCCTTTCCCTTTATTCCATGCTCAGTTTCTGCTACATGGTGTGCTACATTCTGGGAAGCCAGAAAGTCGGTAGAATAGTGTAAGTGTGTGTGTGTGTGTGTGTGTGTGTGTGTGTGTGTGTGTGTGTGTGTGTGTGAAAAGGGGGCCTTCTGGGCATCTTTGAACCATGCCTCCTTGAGCTTAAAGTCAGTTCTTCCATAGCAGGGACACGAAAATTCATCTGGATCAGGGCATCCGTTTAGGCCATCAGCTTCTAAGGTTGCTTCCCAGTTTGAAGGAAGGTACTCTCAAATCCTCTGTTGTGGTTAATTTCAATTGGCAGCTTGATGAAATCTAGAATCACCTGGGATACTGGTTTCAAGCAATGCCTGTCTGCAATGCCTGTCTAGGATTACCTTGAATCTTTACATTGAGGTGGAAAGACACCCCACCAACAGAGGGCAGCACCATTCCCTGGACTAGAATCCTCAACTGTACCAAAGGAGACAGGGAATTCAATGCGAGCACTTTTCGCCCCGTGCTTCTTGACCTCAAGGCCTTACTGTTGTGACTTCCCACAGTAATGACTAACTTCCTGGAGATGTGAGCCAAAATAAACTCTTTCTCTCTTAAGTTGCTCTTGATGGGTAGATTTATTAGAGTAACCGGAAAAGCGGCTAAGATCCCCTCTGACAAGAGGTGTGGCTGACACAAACAAATCAAAACCCAAGTCTCACTTTCTTCCTAAGTCCTTATTTTGGGGTGTTCCCCAATAGAAGGGAGCAGTTCCAGGAGCAACTACCAGATAATTAAATAATTCCCAAAAGTTCATGGGGATAAATACCAGACAGTATTTTGTTCCTTAGAAATGTCTTAAGTTGTTGTAACTGAAACACAAAACTGACCCTAACCACAAGGCTTACTTACCAGTGCTGCTCAGTGAGAGTCAGGAGGCTCTCCAGTAAGGTGCACACTTCCATGTTTGATTAATTTGTGCTGGGAGGACCCTCAGCATCTCCCCACCCAGATTTCCAGTCTAGCATCTCTATTTGTATTTCACGTTCTACACATCGCAGGAAGTCGGTAAAGGTGCACGTGCTCACACTCATGTGTGACCTGTGCTTCACACGAAAGTTTCTCCCACCAAGTAAAGATGCCCTGGGAGCTTGCTGCTGCAAGAGAACTCGGGATTTCTATTGTCTTAATCACCTGAAACCAGCCACCTCATCACTGCCCTTAGCAGTCAGGCTTGGGATGAACACCTTCACCACTGCTCACCATTGGCCAGAAGGTGGCGGTGTCTCATCTCTAAGCAGATCCCAACTCTGTGATTTGCGAGGGTTACTGAGTATCCAGCTGTATTGCCACCAGTCAATTCTCAGGCCAGTCAATCCATTAGGAGCAAACTAAGGGGTAGAATGAAGCCCTCACCCTTCACCGTTAATAGCTCGCACCCATCACCACTCAGAGTTTCTTACCTAATAAAATTCTGCAATAAAGTGTGCTTAGAAAAATTCCTGCAGCATCGAGAGAAGTAAGAATTCAGTGGGACACACAGAAACACACACATGCACATACACACAGGAAATGAAAGTAGAAGAGAAACTTGAGAAGAAGAATTTCAGCCAGAGAAGGAGGGGGCATGAAAGAGGGTAGTAGACGGTAAACTAGAGACCATTAATCATATACACACATGAGACTGCCATAGAATTGAAAAAAGTAAAATCAAGAAAACCTTCCCACAGCCTGGGACTCTGCTGTAAGGGGTGGAGGTGAGCACTGGCCCTCTTCGGAAATAATTCTGATGAAACTGTTGACAGTTCTGCCTTCAAGTCTCTCAAGTCATTGCCATCATCAGAGGTGACAAATTGCCATAGAGGAAGGTGTCCCAGAGACCAGAGCCACAGTGTTCTCTACCATCAAGGGGAAATTGCCATTGCACCTTGTCACGCTTTTGGTAATTTCATCCAAAAGATTACCTGAGAATTGGCTGAGAAACTTTTTGTTGTTGTTGTTACAATTTATTTGCTTTGCTCCCTCATCTCCTTCTAGTCCTAACCTCCCTCCCTCTTCTCCCCCTATGCCCCTCTCCTAGTCCACTGATAGGGAAGGTCCGCCTCCCCTATCTGACCCTAGTTTATCAGGTCTCATCATTTAAGGAAGCCCAGCTTATTTGTATCCACTTGCCACTGTGAATGCATGTTTGAGCACTTCCTTTGTGACGAGGCTGCCCTCTGAACCTCACTGTTGTCATTGTGGATAAAACCATTGTCATCCTTCTCAATTCAAGTTCTCTGCTGGAGAACGCAGGTGCATTTCAGTCTTTTGTTCCTGGTGAGGAGCACCCCAAACCCCTGGAATCTCCACAGCAGTAAGAGGATGAGTGCGTGCCTGCAGGCGTGCGTGTGTGGGTATGTAGGTGTGGGGTGCGAGAGAAAGAGGGAGAGACAGAGAGAGAGAGACAGAGATTTTGGTATTAAGTCTTTTCTAACAAACTCCTGAAGTGGATCTTACTATCCCCTAGCCAGCTACAGGCTAGAAACTGCTGCCAGGAAAGCCAGCTCATGGTTAAGAAGTGGGTATTGTCCCCAGATATCAAGGAAGGGAGAAGTGTTGGGGATGGAGTAAATTACCAATGTCCAGGACCTAATCAATCACATCTCTTTCCTGGAGCCTCCATGAGTGAAAAATTAGTACTGTCTGTTCTAGCAAAGGGTCATATAGAAACAAATGTCATTTAAAATTGTGAAGAAGCCATTTGGCAGAAATTCAAATTCCTCCAGCGCCAGCACTTACTGAAAAAAAAAAAAAAAAAACATATCCATAGGTCCATGGCCTCCCAGAACTGCACTCTGCCTGTCCACACTCTGGTTTGACTTATGCAGCAAAGTCAGAGTGTGAGGCCAGGCTCGGACCACTTAGTGAGAAAGAGGATCCCTTTAGGGGAAAAAAAGCCCACTAGGACCCCACTGGGTGTGCTTGCCTGCTTGATGAGTCATGGATATGCACCCTTCTGCAGAAATGAAATGTTTTCCCTTTCTGGAACAAGTTGGACTGTGCGATAATTTTCTTGGAGGTCCCAGATTGGCTTCTGACATAAAGAAACCATCTAAGCCGGAGATTGGAAAGCCTCCAGGTTGGTGAATGTACCCACCTGCCTGAAGTTTATATGGCTTGACTAAGGAACAGGAAGTCCACTCTTGGCTTCCTTTTTAGACTTTGACCTATGTGTCCTTCATCTAGCTCTTCATTTATGCCACTTGTAATATCTTTTATAGTAGACTGGTAATGTTTATAAAACTGTTTCCTGTGTTCTATAAGCCATTAAAGGAGATAATCTAACATGAAAGGGGTATGATTACAAAGTCTACCTGACAGCTGATTGGTCAAATTAGGATAGTTCCAGAAACTGCTTCTGATGGGGGACAGTGTTGTAAGACTGAGCCTTTAACCTGTGGAACATGATGCCGACCCTAGGGAGACAGTTAGAATGACACTACATGGTTGAACATGCTATTAGTATCGGAGAACTAACTGAAGAAGATGGGAAAACCCCACATGCACAGATGTTGGAAGTTCATTCTTCTATACCTGCTCCAAAGGATTCACCATCCTCTCTTTGCATGAGTCCCAGTGACTTGGAGAATTCGTCCAGGCCACATGGTGAATAGGACATTCAGGCTTCTTAATTATTAGTCTCAGCTCCCTCTCTGATGCTTCAGTCAACCTCTTCCTTGTAGAGCTCAGGCTTCTGACCCTCCTGCAGCCCTGAACCAAAGACCCTCCCCCTTCAGATCTCTGTCACTGCCCTGGTGAAAAATCGCAAAGCTTTGGTATTCCCTCAGTCCTTGATTTCAACGGAGCTTCCTCTTTAGAGCCCACTAAAATCTTGTTTCCTCCTGAAAAGGATTACTGACACACTGTCTGGGATCCCATCACTATCTGCAGTATCTCTGTCCGGATACTGTTTCATTTGTGTGCTAAATAGCAATGAAAGCCCAAGAGTGACTAGAATCCTTCTCTAATCTTCCCTCCAGGGGAAGGGATCACCACTAAGTCCCCAGAGCTGACCCTGGTGCTCACAAGTAATGGGAATTTAAACATGCCAGCTGAAGTGGATCCAATTTCACCTGGTCAACAGGTGCCATAGCTCCTAACGAGATGCTTATGAAAATGCCAAAGAGAAAAGGGGTGGTTGGCTCTTTGACAACACTGCCTGCCAAGGACCCATGCATCACTAGAAACTACTCAGTAGAGGAGAGAATGCCCAGCAAGAGCCCCATGGTACTTGTGGCAATCAATGGTGTGGTTGGCTCCGTCTGCCCTCTGTCCTGTACCAGGCCCCATGTGCATAGGTCAAACTCTACTTCTATTTTTCTGTCACCAGTTTTGTTTCCTATGGTAGCTTTGTGCTGGAGAGCGAAAGACTCTGCCACATGGAGACTGATGTCTCTACTAGTCCTATGTCCCTGATAACATTGTGACCTGTTCCCCAGTCCCTACCCTGTGGAACATAGTAACATTTATTTTACAGAACCTTCTGTTGACTAAATGATGACGCTTTATGCAATGCTCACCAAATAGCAGCCAGCAACAGGCAGGTGCGTGCCACATTTTTAGCTAAAAGAGAGACCAAAAAAACCCAGATGTGTTTTATCTCTGTCTGTGCTTGTGGTGTTTATGTGTGTCCAGATGCCCTCCATGTCTATAATTATGGAGACCCAGAGTTGACATTGAATACTTTATCAGTGGCTCTCCACTTCATTTATTGAAGCAGGATCTCTTGCCAAACCCTGAGCGCGACAATTCTGACTAGTCTAGCTGGACTGCTTGTACCTGGGATCTCATGTATTTGAAGCAGCCATCAGGTCTGGCCTTCCCACTTTCACAAGTGAGTTCTGGAGGTCTGAAGCGTGTTCTTCATGCTTGGGCGGCAAGCGCTCTAACCACTGAGCCATCTCCCCAGCCCCTGTTCCTGCCTCACAGATAGGAAAACCAAGATTCATAAAGGTGAAGTAACTTGTCAATGCTGTAATACACAGGTCTGGTTTGCAGCCAGCTTCCAGCAATGAGCAGCTGTGACACTCCCCAAGTTGACCAACCTCCTGCCAATACTAAATTCCTCTCCTTTTGAAAGGACAGGGGTCCTTACCCATGTTCCTGAAGTGTGGCTGTCCCACTTGCTTTTAGCTATAAGAAAGCGAGGCCAATTAAAACCAGATGTGTGCTATCTCTGTCTGTGTCTGTGGCGTTTTCCTTTCTGCACATATAGAGGTGCACGTGTGCACAGGTGTTCATGCATGTTTATGCTTCCGGAGACCCAAAGTTGACACTGAGTGCCCCAGGGATTGTAAATCACAGCAGGTGACTCAAACGGACACACACTCATTCCCCACACACTCTCCAAGTGCACGACTCTCGTTTCCTTCACAAAGCTGGAACCAAGTTCCCAGCATGAAATTATTCCCTTTTGTTCTGTAAGTTTCTTGAGTCACTCTCCTTCCCTGGCGAAAGCTTAAAAACCAAGAATAAAATGTTCTTTCTTAGGAGACCCAGGGGAAACCTAAATACGTCCTCTTGGTTGCCCAGGCTTTTGCTTAGTGATCACTCACTCCACTGGGTACAGAAGTCACAGAGGTAACAGTGAGATGACACACTGAGGACCAGCGTCACCCCAGACGGTGCCCTGACCTGTGGATGATTTGGATGATGACGCTTTTAGGGATCTGCAGATAACTTTGTCTTGCTTAAAAGGGTCGAAGTCATGAACGGCTTCACTTGAGTGTATGCAATGTTGGAGTGTGACCTTTTGACATCTGTAGTCTCTACCCATGTACAGTGCTAATGCTGTCATTTCTGAAACTGCTGCTTATGAACAGCAAAACATTATTTGTTTTCCTCTTCGTCAGTCATGTTTCCTAACGTGGCCTCAGACACTGTCTGTTTATAGACACAGAAGCCTCTCAGCCCTTTGCTCCGGAGGGCAGATTTGTGGCCAGACCCATCCCCCATCCCCACACATCAGTACCTGTGAATTCACTTGTTCTCTTTGGGGAAAATTGTGGCTTCAGTGACTGGCATGCTGTGTGGCCAGCAAAACCAGCTTGGTCCAGCACTGTAAGTACCTTCCATCTGTTCAGATTCAGGGTCTGAACTGTAATTACCTGTAACTCTGAGCACAGCTGAGAAAGTGTTTCTTCAACAGCAAGGGCCTCTGTGAAGGAAGAACAAAGACCACACAATTAAACAGACCCCACTTAAATGCTGTACTTGCAAACTAAAGGAAAAGGCCTAAATGTCATGAGTTAAATGGTAAACCCGAAGAGAGACAAAGGCAACTCCAGAGGACTCCCTGATCAGACTTTGAAAAGAGTCAGCTTCATTTGGTACCATGGATTGAGTGCAAGAGAAACCCACTGTGGAGTGCAGAGTGGAATTATAAGGTACAATTGACCTCTTAGTGTGTCTACCATTTTGAGTTTCCCCAAACAAGTTTACATTTATTCATCCTTTTCCAGATGCATGTCCACAGGCATGTGCACATTCGCACACATACACATGAACATACACACATACATGCGTATGCGCATATACATACATGCACACATACACAAAGAGACTCTCACAAACACAGATTTTTAACAGAGCAAACACGGATTTGTGTCTCCACCTTGAGGCTGAAAAGAAGCTGCAGGAAGAGAAGTGGCAAGCCTGAGTAGAGGGCAGACTCCAGGGAACTTCTCACTAATGAGCATCATAGCAATCCGGGCCACCCACAGTGCAGCCTGCTATGCACCAGCTTGTCAGCCTGAACCAGTGACCTCCAGCTATTAGTGATTTAATGGTCAGAGTTTTGATCATTTTTGAACTCTCTCCTAGCTCTCCAGTGCTAAGCTGAGCCATTGGCATGCAGTTGTACTGGCTAGGGCAACATAAGCAATCTTTTAGCACCTCTGTGTCCTGGTGACCCTCCCATCTGACCAGTTACCTCAGGTCGATTGACCCAAAAGTTCAACAGACTTTGTCCCTTTTCAACAGGACTATATCCTAAGTGTCCAGCACAATGGCCAGTATAGAAGATACTCAACAAAAATATGTTGGAAATATTTTAGTGAATAAAGAAACCTTGCTCGTTTTTTTAGGTTTGATCACCAACTGCTGCTTAATAAATCCTTTTTCTTTTGAGCAATATAACTGGGCTCTGACTCTGTACTTCTTTGCCTTGTCTTTGTGGAGCTGTAGGTCAAACCCAGGATTTAACATCTGCAAAGCAAGTACTGTGTGGAAGAGTCACAGCCTGAAACACTTGTAATTTTTTTTACAGCCTCTATAAAATTGGCTCCCGAAAACACCCAAGTCAAAGACTGCTTCATTCAAAGACCTGGCTGGCCACTGGCTTGGCCAAGGGTCATGACTCATAAGAGTAGATGGCAAGAGGGTCTGAAATCAATGTAAGCAGTACAAAAACTCCTCTGCTCTACAGACTAGAGACAGAGCATAAGGAATGTGAGGGAGAGCCAGCTCTCACAGACCCCATAGTCTGTAAAGAGAAACTTATATATATGTCATTGTCATGCAACCTGCTTATAATACACCTGCCACAGGCGCTACCAATGGTATGGCTCTCACAGAAGTTGGTATACAAAGGAACAGACAGAGAAATAAAAACTTAGTGGGATTTGGACATTGACATATGTAATATCCTTGAACAGTCTCCCTGTAAAGCCTCTGATCCAAAGGACTTAGACTGGAACCACAACATGTGGCATACTCTAATGGAGGGTGGCAGGACTGAAGCACCCTTCCCCAGGATCTCTGTCATGGCTATCTGTTCCTGTATGGCTTTGAGTAGTCATTTTACTTCTCAAGTTTGATGTCTCTATTTACTACTCAAGTAGGATTTAGGCTCACTAAGCTCCATGATATCTAGTTTTGAAAAAAATCTATCTGTCCCCATAACCAAATTTAACATGTCAAAGGAAGTTCTAGAGTACTTCACAGGATAGACCAAGGAATAATTAGATACATACAAATATAATAGATATGAATGGCTGTAGCTGTTCATATATGTGTTCATGATTTCTTTCTGTGTAGTGCTCTTTTATGAAGCTGTTATGCATATTTATAAGTTATAACTCTATAATTGGTCTTAATTATTAAATACTATAAACTTGTAAATTATTCTATAAAATGTGTTGTGTGAAAGAGAGAGAGAAGAAACAGGGGGGAGAGAGTGAGGGAAGAAGAGAGAATCTAAGTTTTAACCAGTTGTAGCTTGTGGCCTGGAAAGGACTGAAGGACTCAAGAACCTTCTGCTTTACTTGATTAGACAGTCACCTTAGATTATGAAGTTGGGTTCTCACCAGTGGGGCGAGGTTCGATCTACCTACTTCAGTGATGGAAGCCAGGAACTATCGTGGCTGTGTTTTGCTACTAGCCCTGTCTGGGTTCTGGCACATCCTTTTGCAAAAATAACTGCCTTGTTGAAATATTTTGGCTTTGTTTGTATGTTCCTTTGTGTGATACCAAAATTAGTTCTAACAAAGGCAGCTTAACATTATTAGATAAGATGCCAGGTACGTAGTAGGTGTTCAATAAATATTTATTTGGTACATAAATGAATGAGTGGATGCCTTAGAGAACTCATATTTGTTCTTATTGCATTTGTCATTATTCTAAATAATCTCTCTTAATACAGTGAGGTAGAATCCAGAGAAGTCTAAATGTCTAATCATGTTTTCACCATGATCTTTGCAAAAGCATAGCACCTTTTCTCCATCCACACTCCAACGTAGAATGTCAGCTACTGAACTGAGATTTTCTGCTCCTATTCCCTTACCCAGCTTCATGGTGGGCAGCTCAGGAATGTCTCTCATGATGACTAGAAAGTAGAGCCGGAGGCCCCGATAGGCATGGAGCAGCAGTAGACAGAGGTCCCGATGCCACTTGTGTGCATGCTGTATGCAGTTCTCCGAGGGGACATAGAAGCTTCCCTGAAGAGATAGAAGAAACAGAGCTAAGAATTTCATGCCTCATCCTGGCCCCACAGTGCTCCAATACTCCACTCAACATTTACAGAATAGTTTGAGCTTCAGAACAGCGGGTCTGATTTTTAGAAAATAGGAAGACTCTAGGAAGAAAGGTGGTTGAGTTTCTTCTGTATCCTTCCACATAGAAAAAATAATGGGCATGTCATGCCTCTGTTGTATCATATTCAAGTTAAGATATTAACAGTCATAGTATTAAAAAAAAACAATGGTAGAAAATGATGAGCAACAAGCAGATAAGACTGACAGTGCCCTTTCCAGGAAGGTTTGTGACCACTGACTGCTGCCCACTCACCAGCCACTTTCCCTCATTTCCAGAGAATGCACTGTAAACACGGTTGAAGGACAGAAGAAATGGAATCCATTATATGAGTGAGAGGAGGATTAGAAAGACCACTGGGTGAGGAGCAGATTGTGTTTTACAAAGAGAAAGTAAAACTATCTTATAAAGCAGTAAAGAAGCATGCAGTTGAGTCCTCCATGTTGATTTACCTAATGAGAGCTCATATTTGAGCTCAGTTTCAGAATGCCTGGCACAAGGAAATCTCTTTGAGGCTGTAGACCTGGTAGAAAGACAATATGGTCTTGGCAACGAACAGAAAATGCTTAGGTCCACAGTGGACTCAGCATGGGGAAAAAGTGTAAACAAGAGTTTTGTTTATCTTTCATAGGACAATTTGTCACTCTAACCTCAGAGAGAAAGACATTCCAGAGTGTTTCGAAGGAGAAATTTGTTCTAAGAGCAGAGAAAGGAATCATGTGGCAGGATGATAACTGTGGAAAACTGAAGACATTGAGGGGTGGCAGGAACATTTGGTGGTGTTACACACCTGCTCATTCATCCACTTCCCCCCTTGGTTACAATGGAAGCAAGCACTGGCTCTTCATGGTTCCCTGCTCCTGACCTGCCCATTCTGGAGGAAGATTTGGCTAGGCACAGGATGAGCTCAGTGTGTGTCTGCATGGCTGGTGATTATGGAAGCTTCTTTCCCATGCAGTCTCTGATCATTTTTTTTCAGCATAATATTGTTATTGATTCTTTGGCAATTTCACATCATACACTCCAATAACACCCACATTTCAGTCCTTCCATATCAGCCCCCTCTGCCCTTGTGATCGCCCCTGCAACAACAACAACAACAAAATAAGTCCAATTTGTCTTATCTATATACTCACTGGAGCACAGTGAAACTCAGTGGGCTTTCCCTTCAATAGAACTGAGTCAATTCCTCTCCAGCACCTGTGTTGCAAGCCATCAGTTGTGGAGAGCTACATATCAGTAGCCTTATCACACTTTCTAAAGAGTTCCCTTCAATGGATTTATGTTTAGGCTGTTGCATTTTTGGGGGGTGTGGGGGTAGGTAATTGGGGTGGGATGGGAATAGAGGCTGTTACAGAAGCCATCCATGTCCCTCTGTCTCATCTGTGCATCTATAGTGACTGATATCATTGCCAAAGTAGCTTCCCTGCACTTTACTGTCAGCAGGAGCATGGACTGTGGGCTTTCCCATTATTTCTGGTGACAACACAGATAATGAACATAGCACCCAGCTACAATATGAACATGGATATCAACATGATCTCAGGTGGCAGCATGGGGCACTCCCAGCAATATGGCTCCAAGTGAGGCATGGCCCTTGGACATCAGCATGGCTTCAGGCTGCAGCCTGAATCATGGACATCCACATGGTATTCTGTTGCCACACAAGCCAGGGACATCAACACAGACCCCAGTTGCAGTAGGACTATGGGCAAAGAAGAGAAAGATGAAGAAGAAGAAGAAGAAGAAGAAGAAGAAGAAGAAGAAGAAGAAGAAGAAGAAGAAGAAGA